CAATATATATATATTGTTTAATCTATTCAAAAACCATGTGCATGTATGGGGGTTATGTGTGAACAACTAATTCTTGGATAGAGGCATTGCACCCCTTTGTTTCCTATCTTTGAGCTAAGCTAAGTTAACCGCGCACTGGCTTCATATTTTCCAAATGTGAGAGTGGTACTGATCTTCTCATCTAACTCTTTGCAAGACAGCTTATAAGCATATTTCCAAAAATGTCCCAAAACTATTCTTTTTAAAGGAAAAGCTTATAAACTGCCTCCTGTCTTCTTAATTTAACGCTTTGGGGTTTTTCGTCATGTAAAATCCGTTTTATGTTTGTTGGGTAACAGTTGCTTCTCACAGCTATTTGAGAAATAAACTTGGTCCGTGAGTTGACGTGCTATACTCAGTTCCAAAGACTGCAGCTTTAGCATCGACCAACTAGCATATAAACTGTGAGGAAGGCCTGGACGATTAGAGAGAAGCTCTAAAAGCATGCCTATTTGACTGATCCTGAAAGATCCTGATTTTATTGAACTGCCTTTTTAGGAGGTGAACCGAACAAATTGACTTTTGTTTGAAGCCTTTGATGTTGCGCTGCGTTCATGTCCGGTGAGAATAACAGCAGCGATTTTCTGACAGTTCAAAGTCTTAACTTGAAACGGATTCCCACCTGTTGAAACTTGTTTTAAGCCACGGAGAGACCGTGGGCGATTACTGCTACTACATTTGAATTTATAATAATAATTCCTTTCAGTCTTTTCCACACTTGACTCTTGCACAGCTGGGAAGTGACATACCTGATGTCTGAAACTAGCACAGAAAGTCCTGCCCCGCGATATCTCTGTTTTTGAACTAAAATACTGAAATGTCAGTAACCGAGAATAATCAGGTCCCTTGCCACATTCCCAAGCAGAATTTACCATTTAAAAAGTAGTAATATCAATACCAAGGCAACAGTTTTTTTCCATTTGACATGAATGCAGCATTACAGGTTGGACAGATGAAACTGAACAATGTAGCTCCAAGCTTCTTAACCCTGTATCACTGTGATGATGAGGGGGATGAAGTGGGACTGATGCCTTTGCAATGCAGCTTATTCCTTTTACTGTGTAACTTCTGTTTGCATCCCTACAAAAGCCAAATATGGCACCTTTAGCCTTTCTGATTAACACTAAAATTAGAGTTTTGTTCTTTTTTGTTTTCTAGTCCCTAGCTCATACACTATGTCTATCTCTAGAGACATGCACCTCCTCTCCAAAGCTGTATTTGTAAGTCCATAATGTATATTTTAATATTTTGGTCTCTTCTATGTGAATTATTTTCTGGTTTATGGGTTTTCCACGACATTATTTTTTTTCAAATGAGAGAATAAATCTTTGTTTTTCTAAGATTTCTCCTGAATTTGTTTCCTATTGGTCCTTTTTTTTATTGACACCACATCCATTATACATTAACCTTCAGAGTGTGAGAGTCTGATGTGAGGACATGGATCAAACCACTCTGCATGCGTCATAAGGAATTCACACACACATGGGTGTATGGGTGTAAATTACTTTGACAAACACCCACCAGCAGCTGCAATGTGATGTGGTCGTGTAGGGAAAAACCACCAAGTGTTTTATAGTGTTTAAAAGACATTATTAGACAGTTTAGTGTTCAGTGTTCAGGACTCCAGGAGTTATTTGCTATGTGCTTTCATAATGTCCACATTCAGACCACATTTCCTAAATTGTTCTTCACACATAAGATCAATACCACTTTCATGTCTGTCTACAGCCAGGAACTTAGCTTAGCATGAACAGCTAGCCTGGCTCTTCTAAAAGGTAACAAAATCTGCCTACCATCATCTCTAAATTTCACTAATTTGATTCTGTAATCCATACAAAACCCTCAATGTGTAAAACACGACATGTTGTGGTGTTATGGTGGATTCTGTGCTGGACTATTTCTTGGTGTGGTCACTTCCTGGAGTCATGTGACACTGTGCCCGGCTATCAAATACTCCAGCCTCCAGCACTAAACCTCCTATCAAAACAACATCAGTTATACACTGTTTAATAAATGAAATATATACATTTTAATAACGATAAACTTTATTTATACAGCACAAACCAAAGTCACAAGTTGCTTTACATAGTTGAACCGCAACAAACTATTTAATGAGCTTTGGAGGTGCTGCTTCTAGACATTTGTAGATAGCTGCACCCCACTGTTTCCAGTCTTTATGCTAAGCTAACCAGCTCCTGGCTCTAGCTTAACAGACAGGTGAGTGAGTGCTATCCATCTTCTTATCTGACGATACATGTCAGCAAGAAAATGAATACACATATTTCCCAAAATGTCTATATAAACAATAATGAACACTTTTTAACCAGGCATGTTAGAGATGAGGATCGGGCAGATTGAGTTGTTGACATAGCGTGAAAAGCAAAGCACACTGTGTATTGATGGATGGTGATGGGCACAGTGTACTTTGTTGTCAGATGTGGTTAGTATGGAAATGAAGAGGATATCCAGGTACTAAAAATATCCCAAGGACATGGAATGAATTTCCTTGTCCACCTTTTGGACTTGACAAAACAACCCAGACTGTATTAATGAAAACATTTAGTGGCATCTATAATGCAGTTATTGGCTAGCTGCCATGTTCGTTTCACTTCAGTTTTTATAAGCTTTATGAGTAGGTATAGTCATTTATTGAGGTAAGTTTATGGATACATAAAATCCAGGATCTTTTTTATTGTCTATTTCCAAATGCGGTAGAAAAGATGTACTACTGAAAATGAAATCAGGTACAACTCAATCCACTTCTATTATATTTTGCCAAAAAATCTAATAAAAATTAAAAATTTTAAGACATAAGTACATAACTCAAGTAAATACTGTGCTTAAGTACCATTTTGTGGTACTTGCGCTTCCATTTTATGTTACTTGTTACGTCTACTCCACTACATTTCTGAGGAAAATGTACTTTTAACCTCCATTTACAAATTTTCACAACATAGTAGTTATAACTTACTTTACATATTCAGAATATTAATGTGAAATATCATCAACAAAGACATGATATTTAATAAAGATTAAACTACACAGTAGTAGTAGTTGCAACATTACAGTGATACATAGACCTGATATACAATAATATCATATGCATTACTCTAAAATAGGCCATTCAGCATAATGAGCACTTATGGTTTTATTACTTTAAGTATATTTTGATGCTAATCCTTTTTATACTTTTAAAAATTTTGAATCGAGGACTTTGAGTTGCAACAGAGTACCGAGATAAGAGAGGCAATGACAGATGACTGACGGGAAATTAATGTAGTCCTGAAGGATTTACAGACGCATCTTGAAATGAATGTCAAGTGGTTTTCGAATGATCTCCATTGAAAAAGACATTTTTGATTTGAGAGCCGAACATCAAAACATAACTAAGACTTTCACATCCCAGAAAATCATTCATCCAGTTTTGCCGACCTCAGTTTCATAATTCAGTCGGTGCTTAGCTCCTTTTCTTTCCTCCTGCTCTTTGCCCTGAACAGTGCTCTGTTTCTGCCAGAGTTAATATTCCTTACAAAGGCATGGCTCACCCCGCCACCGGGCCAGGTTAGGTTCAAATATCTGCAGGCTACTGAGACCTGTAAATTCATTTACTGTAGGTATGTACAGTATACTGTTCATTATATGCAGAGCACAGAAAACTGTGGTGAGAGACTGCCACCTAGGTTTGGTTTAAAAAAGTGTAAAAGATTAGTTTCACAATTTGACATGTAAATATGATTACCTTAGCAGATAAAAGGAAAATAGTAGACAAAAAAAAACAGGATATATCTTGTGTATCCTGCTTGTCTTGATGTGTTTTGTTCACCCTTTTAATGGAATAATTATCAGGTGAATTTTTATATTAGGCTACATAATTTACTTAGGTTGTTAAATATTTAACAGGTACATTTACAGGTTATTTTTAATATGTATCATCTATCTGATTCATAACCTATAGCCACTATATTACTAATGTTGATAAATCTAATTCTACCTCTGTAAACACAAGAATATGTCTGCAAATACAGTGTTGCATTCGTGATGTTTGGGTTTATAAATATACACGGTATGAACACAAATCAATATGTTACTTATTTGGTATTCCCATGTCCAATGTACTTGAAATGAAACTGAATCATAGTAATATTTTATCAAACATTTATCAAACATTTGTCTATGTGTACCCCGACTTTTGCCCGATGTAAGCTGGGATTGGCTCCAGCCCCCCGCGAACCCTGTAACATTATGCAGGATAAGCGGTTGGATGGATGGATAAATGAACTGGAGAATAGGACAGACAAGCATATGGAAAACAAAAAATTTAAATATGACATATCAACATTTTATATATTTGAGAAAGAACTTTAATACATCGAGGACGTCACTTTGTGTTGAAAAGTGGCTGGGACATAAGGGCTCAGATCAGGGGTGTGACAATACACAATTTTAGCAACACGAGAACACAATAATTTCCTGCATTCTGGAGAAATTGTCGGCACCAATTCAAGGGAAACACAAACTTCAGGTAGCATGTGAAAAATCAAAATATAAAATATAATTGAATACAATGCAGTAATCATTTTGTTTGGACAATGCACCTGTGTTTCTTCTATATTCACATTGCATTGCATGTTTTCTTCCAACCATCCATCGTTAACCGCTTATCCTGCAGCACAGGGTCATGTTTTCTTAATGAGCAAAAAAAACCAAAAACAAAACCTTTCACAAAGCATTTTTATTTGTTAGTCAACATTTTATGTTGAAAGCTATTTTTCAGAACTTTTTTTTACAAACGCTTTGAAGGCTATGAAATACATAAATAAATCAAAAGAGAGGTACTGTAGTATTATAATAATAATAATAATAATCAGAGACCATGTCCAGGATTTGACGTTTGTTTTGGATCATCCACAACACAAGATGGCGGCAGAGAGCGTCATGTTGTTTTGGCGCAAAGCGGAAGTCGTCATAACTGTTCACCGTAAAGAAATGAATGTTGCTTCCTTCGGAGAGCTGCAACTGGCGCTAAAATAGCAACGTTGTCGACCAAACGTGTTGTTACTTTTTAATTTTGACATATGTAATAATAATAATAATAACTCTACGAATTAACATCTTACTCGGCGGCTTCAAAGTAGACAAGCGCGAAGAAGAAGTCGCACAGGAATGTTGGCTATCCTGTTAGCAAGTGTAGCTAGCAAGACCGCTAACAGTATTTACATAAATTAAAATTAACGTTAGGTTTAGTTTTTTATTTAAATTGCAAGACTAGTTTCTGGATTACCTTCCACAAATGGATGAGCACAAGGAGAACCTTCACGCCGAGGACGTCAATGTGAAGATGTCTAACCTGAATATGAGAGAAGATGAAAAGGTTGGTGGGAGTTCTTTAACGTTAACATAACGTTAGATATGCTGTAACGTTAACATAACGTTAGATATGCTGTAACGTTAACATAACGTTAGATATGCTGTAACGTTAACATAACGTTAGATATGCTGTAACGTTAACCATAACGTTAGATATGCTGTAACGTTAACATAACGTTAGATATGCTGTAACATTAACATAACGTTAGATATGCTGTAACATTAACCATAACGTTAGATATGCTGTAACGTTAACCATAACGTTAGATATGCTGTAACGTTAACATAACGTTAGATATGCTGTAACATTAACCATAACGTTAGATATGCTGTAACGTTAACATAACGTTAGATATGCTGTAACGTTAACCATAACGTTAGATATGCTGTAACATTAACCATAACGTTAGATATGCTGTAACGTTAACATAACGTTAGATATGCTGTAACATTAACCATAACGTTAGATATGCTGTAACGTTAACATAACGTTAGATATGCTGTAACATTAACCATAACGTTAGATATGCTGTAACATTAACCATAACGTTAGATATGCTGTAACGTTAACCATAACGTTAGATATGCTGTAACGTTAACATAACGTTAGATATGCTGTAACATTAACCATAACGTTAGATATGCTGTAACATTAACCATAACGTTAGATATGCTGTAACGTTAACCATAACGTTAGATATGCTGTAACGTTAACCATAACGTTAGATATGCTGTAACGTTAACCATAACGTTAGATATGCTGTAACGTTAACCATAACGTTAGATATGCTGTAACGTTAACATAACGTTAGATATGCTGTAACGTTAACCATAACGTTAGATATGTTGTAACATTAACCATAACGTTAGATATGCTGTAACGTTAACATAACGTTAGATATGCTGTAACGTTAACATAACGTTAGATATGCTGTAACGTTAACCATAACGTTAGATATGCTGTAACATTAACCATAACGTTAGATATGCTGTAACGTTAACCATAACGTTAGATATGCTGTAACGTTAACCATAACGTTAGATATGCTGTAACGTTAACCATAACGTTAGATATGCTGTAACGTTAACCATAACGTTAGATATGCTGTAACGTTAACCATAACGTTAGATATGCTGTAACGTTAACCATAACGTTAGATATGCTGTAACGTTAACCATAACGTTAGATATGCTGTAACGTTAACCATAACGTTAGATATGCTGTAACGTTAACATAACGTTAGATATGCTGTAACGTTAACATAACGTTAGATATGCTGTAACATTAACCATAACGTTAGATATGCTGTAACGTTAACATAACGTTAGATATGCTGTAACGTTAACATAACGTTAGATATGCTGTAACGTTAACATAACGTTAGATATGCTGTAACGTTAACATAACGTTATAACGTTAACATAACGTGCTGTAACGTTAACCATAACGTTAGATATGCTGTAACGTTAACATTAACTGTAACGTTATAACGTTAGATATGCTGTAACATTAACCATAACGTTAGATATGCTGTAACGTTAACATAACGTTAGATATGCTGTAACGTTAACATAACGTTAGGTTTGCTGTAACGTTAACCATAACGTTAGATATGCTGTAACGTTAACATAACGTTAGATATGCTGTAACGTTAACATAACGTTAGATATGCTGTAACGTTAACATAACGTTAGATATGCTGTAACGTTATTAACTTACTGAAGTCTGGAAACGGCAAACACAAAATATTTAATACCTTAATGTTTAAAACCTAATTTACTAAACTGGAGTTAATTTTCCAAAAACGTTCCAAAGTTAAGAGGATAAAAGCTGCCATTTTCTTATTTTTATTATAATTGAATAGCCATCAGGGTTTTAGCATGTTTTAGTCCAATTTCTATAATCACCTGCGCAGTAAACTAAGTTAATCATGTTCTACTTTTTTCCTTGTCATTGAATGTTCACTGATTGATTTTTGTTGGGGGATAAAAAAAACCAGAAAAATCCACATTCCCACCATCCTTATCCTGTTTTAAATCTTGTTTTATATTTTATTTGCATTAAGATTCGTATTTTATTGTTGAGCTCTTTGTTTTGAAAGGTGCTAACTTATATAAATAAAGCTGTTATTATTCTTATTATCCCGTTGCCTGCATTGGACATGACAGGACAGGAGTTGGTAGAAAAGTTGAATTAATAAAAGATAATTTTCCGTTCGGATTGATGGATCAAAAGAGTGCTATTACTAAATAAAAGAAAACTGGTTATTTTGACATAATCTTTCATAGCAACTACTCCATCTTCTTATGACCTAAACGATAGCAGAAGTGGCTTCATTCATCCTGCACCATATAGCTCTTGAAACATAATGCCCACTAATGAGTTGTGTAAAAATAAAAGAAAGGTATTTGTATAGTTCTCTTAAGTTCTTGTCAATATACAGATGCGTAACATGATGTATCCAGATGTTTTAATACACTGAATGGTTTGATATTTATGAAAATGGTGTGAATAACATATTAGGGCCCTCAAAGTCACATGATCTTCTTAAAATTGCAGCATTTTGTTAGACTCTTTACCACCATCATCAAAACAGTTAATGTTTTTTGAAAGAACGGTGTTCATACCGCCAGAAGGGGCTTTTAAAATCTCTGCCGATGAGCACTCAAGCTGTTCTGAAAGCGCCTTAATACACGCCTTTAATAAGACACTTTAGGACACTTTTAAGACACTTTGTTTTTTCTTGAATTTGTTGCCCGTCTGTAAACCAAAGTGAGGAAGGATATTGAGAAGGGATGCATGATAATTATCGATCTAATAAAGTATCGTCAGATATTGGACATATTTTCATTATCAGAATCATATGGGAAAATTAAATGTTGGCCAATAATTTAGCCAATCAAACAATGGTTTAACGTGCGTAGCTGCTGTTGTCGCACTATGTCATATTGCTGTGCCTGGATAGAGCCAATTACTGAGGGATGTACTTTTTAGTTTTGTTTAATACTTTGAGATGTATGATTTGACATCTTATGTCAGTCCATTTGATTTATTTTGAATTCTTATGCAAAATTTGGCTTTGTAGGCTTTATGTTTTATGAAAGCCATACTTTTTATTTTTAATTTTATATTTAAAGAGTCAGAACTGTTGTTGTTATTGTGTTCACAAAATTGATGTCTGTTAGATTTGGGTATGTCAGTCATGAAAAATTAAATTATAAATCTTGCTTTACATGAAATCTTAGCCTTTCTTACCACCAGCTGTGTAAAAATGACTAATGATTAATTAACAAAAATATGAAGAAATGATCGGTTATCGGATCGGTGGGGAATCCATATCTTGCATCACTAATATTGAGTGACTTTACAAGGCTGACTCATCTCTTTCTATAAACCAACCAGATCTATAACTTCATTAATGTATGTTATGCTTCTGTGACACATTTTGTGACATAATTCCTTTCCAGGCAAAACCTTGCAGCAGGATATGTCCTGCTGGAGAATCTGATCCTCAGGTGTCCCCGTCTCAGTCAAACAGTGACTTCAGTCATCCGGTGTACAAAGAGATCGCTTTGGCTAATGGACACATCAACCGCATGTCCAAGGAGGAGCTTCGGATCAAGTTAGCAGAGCTGCGGCTTGACACAAGGTAATAATGGCCATATTACACTGAACACACACAGTTTAAAAGCATCTACAGCACCGTTTGGTACATGTTTGAAAAACGCTTACACCAAATTCCTGCTTGAAATCAAATAAAATTTATATGCAGAAATCTCAAGTTCAGTTCATAAACTATTTTACCACTAGTATCGAAAGCCACTGAACTTCACAACATAGAAAAAAATGTTTCCGAAACCCTATTCTCTTTGTTTGTAAAGAGGTGTAAAGGATGTGATGAAGAAGAGGTTGAAGAGCCACTATAAGAAGCAGAAGCTGATGCAGTCTGCCGCTGAGGGAGGACCGACTGACACCTACTACGACTACATATGTGTGGTGGACTTTGAAGCAACGTGTGAGGAGGATAATCCTGCAGACTTCCATCATGAAATCATTGAGTTCCCCATGGTTCTCATCAACACGCACACTTTAGAAATTGTGAGTTGAGTTTGTGATGAAGGACGGTTCAGTTTCTAACCTGCAGGGTGAGTTTTGTATTTATGGATTTTGTTTTTCTCGTTTATTTTTCAGGTGGACACCTTTCAGGAATATGTAAAACCAGAGCTGAACCCACAGCTTTCAGACTTTTGTGTGAAGTTAACAGGGATAACGCAGGTTGGTTGAGCTCAATTATATCAAAGTGTCTTGTTTGATATCAAAGTAATATTCCTATGATCAGGAGTTTTTGTGTGACTAAAATGTTGGTGTTTTGTTGAGCAGAAAATGGTCGATGACGCAGACCCGTTTCCTGAAGTTCTTCAGCGGGTCGTAGATTGGCTTCAGGAGAGGGAGCTCGGGACAAAGTACAAATACGCCATCCTCACTGATGGGTAAGATGTTTGAATTCAGTAATGCTGCAGAATTTTATTTAGCTTAGGAATCGTGATGATGCTTTTGTTTTCCATCTTTTGCAGGGCCTGGGACATGAGCAAGTTCCTCAACATCCAGTGCCGGATCAGCCGGATCAGATATCCTCATTTTGCAAAGAAGTGGATTAACATAAGAAAATCATACGGGAACTTCTACAAGGTTTGGGTTGTTTTTTTGTTTTTATAGATTTTTATTTATTCCCCACCAAGGAGGTATATGAACATAGTTACTCACAAAAAAACAAAACAGAAACAAAGTAAGTGGACAGCAACATGTATTTGCAGTGATAATATTTTGACAAATTTCATTTACATTTATTCATTTAGCACGGTGTCAGTATGTTAACCCACAGCTTAGCTAACGTTAGACATATTACTTGATGTATCATCGTTCTCTCTACATCATGGTATTGGATTTATCTAGAACCGCATTAACCTTTAAGTTTTACCCTAAAAATGTATCCGTACAGATTTTCTTTATATATTTAAATTATAACCAATCTAAAATTAACAGATTTGTACCAATCGTTGAGCTGTTGTTAAATGCAGATGTAACATTTAAAGGTTCCTTCAAAAAGTCCCATTAGAAACTCCACCAACCAGTCATTTTCCTCCACCAGGTCCCCCGCACACAGACGAAGCTGAGCACCATGTTGGAGAAGTTGGGTCTGAAGTATGAAGGTCGTCCTCACTCTGGGCTGGATGATTCACGCAACATTGCCAAGATAGCTCTACGCATGCTACAGGACGGGTGTCAGCTGCGCGTCAACGAACGCATGCACGCAGGCAAGCTGCTCTCGGTTCCCAGCTCAGCCCCTGTGGAAGGAGCTCCTCCACCACATACCCCCCGCACCAGGGAGTAGACCCAGAAACTGAGGGTTTGTGCACACAGGAGCCGTCTCGACCCGTTACCCCCATGAGTTCCAGAAAAAAAAACTAAAAAAAAACAAGATCCACTAAGCACTTGCACAGTCTTAAAAGTTGTACTTGTTTTGTTTTAGAGCTTAAAAGCTGTAAAGGGTATTTGAGTTTGACCAATGAAAAGGGGTCAATATTTTAGATTCATATCTGAGGTTTCCTCTCTGACCACCGCTCCGTCTATTTTTTACAAAAGATTTCTGAAAACGGAGATAACTCCAGTGTGTTGTTTGAGGATTTTTCCACAACAGCGTCAGTGTAGTCTGTTGAACCTCCCTCACCCTGCCTTAACGAGCTGCTAATATTCATCAGACGATTTGATTAAAGATGCCTTTCAGTTGTCACATTTCAGTAGTTTTGCAGGTTTTGCTCCCAAGAATACAACTAAGAAAACAATGTTAAATTACTGTCGTTCTTGACGTATTTAAAAAAAAACAACAACAATATCAGTGTCAGCATTGGCGTTTAAATCCCCATGTCTGTGTAACCATTGTGTGAGTATTGTAAACAAGAATCCACACAAACGTTGCTGCTATCGCTGTGCTGTTTGAAGTGCAACAACCATCAAACTGTTTGACACTTTTCCAGAGTTGAAAGTTTGGAATCAGTCCTGTGGACTTAAAATGTCTGTATTGAGATCCTATAGCACCACAAGTAATAACAATACATTATATATCGTATAAAAACAGGTGAAACTTATTGATGACCAGATGAAGTCCTTCTGTTGTGAGTGCTGTAGGAGTTAAGCCTGTGTTGTAGGATACTGTCATCTTTTTGTATTGATATTGGATGAATTTGTATTTCATGGAGGATGCTCTATTTTAACAGGAACAAATATTCTTCTGAATGCCAAATAATACAAATAAAAATATGTTTTTCTGTTCTTGAAAATAAGGTTGTCTTTGTTAAAGGTTAATAATATCTCGGCTTGCATTCCCCCTGTGCTTGAAGGACTTGATCGTTTTTAACACACCTGTTGCATTTTAAGGGAGTTCATGAACATTTTCTGAATAAGTGTTCAGCATCATCAACCCTTCATCGTTGTCAACACAAGACAACGCTGTCTGCAGGCCAGCCGTGTACTTAAGTACAATTTTGAGGTACTTCAGGAGGTATCAGGCAGACGGATTGTACCTTTTACTCCCAATACATGTATTTACTACAGTTACACAGCAGTATATAATGTAATATTAATTTTTAATAATTAGCTCCCCCTTTAACAGCTGCAACATTAGTGATGAACACATTAATGCATCACTAATGATATACATTATTCTGAAAAGAGACATTCTGCATAATGAGTACTTTTTGTAGTATATTTTGATGCTAACACTTTTCTACACTGTAGTATTGCTACAAAATTACACTTAAAATTATAAACGCAACACTTGTTTTTGCCCCCATTCATCATGAGCTGAACTCAAAGATCTAAGACTTTCTCTATGTACACAAAAGGCCTGTTTCTCAAATATTCACAAATTTGTAAAAAAATCTGTGTTGGTGAGCACTTCTGCAAAAGACACAAGATCCCATTTTTTCCCCCTGTGCGCTTATGTGGTTGGGATACATTTTGAGGTTTTATTTAAATACTGATTAATAATCAATGTTTTATACCTTATCATATCATTTACACAGTTTAGCCAAGAGCCTGAAAACATCAACGGCTTCTTTCTCAACTTCACCATATCTGTACTTCTTCTCTCCCTTTATAAGGAATTGTTCATTTGTGAAATTGGTTCTGAATCAAGCTGCTATTAAAGAGGCCCAAAAAGTAATATTTTTGACAACTGAGGGCGAGAAAACCAACATGCACCCTGATGTAGTGCGTAGCACGTTTAATAGAGATCTTTGGATGCATATGAGGTGTTGATGAGAGCTAAAAGATGTTAAAAAGCTCTGTAGTGTTGATTTGGTGTTAATTGTCAGATTTTGGCATTATATGAGGTAATTTGATTGCAACATAAAAATATTGATTAATGCAGGTGTAATTTCATGAAATCATAATTAAGTATTACACATACCCTGGGGAAATGTGAAAAGAATTTATGTTTTCTACCATCCACCAAGAAGAAAAGACCAACCGGATGCTTCAGTTAACTTCATTTTAAATCAAAATTTACATTCCACATAATGTTTCATAGCTTTGGGCTTATTAAGTACATCAAAGTCTTTAATATTTCTCTCATATGTTCAAATATATTTAAATACACAGATTGTAGCATCTTATATAGCTGAGCTGTACGTTCTCTACACATTCTTGGTTTCGAGCACTGAGGTCACAATGGCATTTAGTGGTTTCCTCGTTACTAATTCTTTTTATAGTCTTTGGCAGCTTTAATAAAACTTGTCTCCATTGTTACAACACTTTTTGGCGCAGCTGTGTAATATACTTAAAAAGTTGTTGTTGTGTAAAAGTGTTGGCTCAAAGACAATACACAAAACTTTTGGCACTGACGGTGTTTGGTCCTAATAGCTATAAAATCCTCGGGGAATCATCTGGGAGCAGTGTGTTCTGTAAAGCTTTAAAACATTTGGCACCATTAAAAATCCCAGCCAGTAAACTTGAGAACAGTAAAGAGTTTGAGGTGCTGGAGTGTCCAGGTGATCATCACAGACAGGTGCTGTATAGCGTCACTTTGTGGCTGATCTCCTCCAGGACCCGGCGGACGGTTTGCTCCAATTCAGCCAGCTCTGCAGCTTTGGCCTCCAGGATGCGCTGGTTGGACTGGTAGGAGCTCTCCAACTCTGAAAACACAGGAGATAAAGAGCGAGAAGAAAGCACTTATAAGACGTATCTCTGTGATGGGATTATATGACCGTTGTGTTATTTCAATTATACATATTTATTTATTTATTTTTAACTTCTTTTTAAAACACCTTGGTGTACTTTCCCTTTTTGACAGAACTACATAAGAGCTTAGATGATTACATAAGATTAATCTGCCACAATTCTCTTAATTGATTATTGTTTCTAAAATTATTTTAAGTAAAAAGCTAATATATGCTTGTTTTCTGCAGTTTTTTGCTATTTCCTTTAATTTTATTAATAAATAATTGTTAGTTGTAGCTCTAAACTACAGTATGATGATCCCTATATTTTGTCTGTGTTCTATGTGTGTCTATAGGACGTGGTTATCTGTATATATGCTTTCTTTAAACTTCTGATTTAACTTTATTTTCCTTGTTTTCTAAATTAACTTGTTGTGTATAAATAATATATAATATCAATCAAGTTGAGAAAATAGATCATTACAGCTATAGCTAGACCAATACTGACATAGATATTTTGGAAAGTCTTACGGTAAATCGGTAAATACGGTAAATCGGCCAATAGTGTTAATTAAAAACATAAACAATCTTGAAATGGATCCATTAGATTAGTTTTTTTAAGAATTGTGATTTGTGAGAAACATACAGTTAAAAAACAAACTTGTCAGCACTCTCTGGAGGACAAACTACATAATGAAGACACTGCTTTTAAATGACCTTAAATGTTATTTTATAGTTATATTCTTATTTATTGTCCAACAAATACACCAATACTGATTTATCAGCAAAAAGCTTATATCTATATGTATATTACTCTATAGCAGCCAATGGTAACATTGTAAAGTAAAGGTAGAATAGGTGTGAGTTTGAGGAAAGTTTATGTTGTTTTTTCCTGATATAAACACTGAAGCGAAGCTAATAAAAGTATTTGATCTGCATATTCAAAAAATAAAAGCTCCCAGAAGTTTAATGAGTAAAAAACAACACATTCAACATTAGGCATATCTATATATATACTGTATATATCCTTGTTCACCTGTGCAGGGCAGATCGTTCTTCTGAGATTATGTTTTTTGTGGGATCTCCCATTTGTAGGTGAATTTGGAGCAGGGCGTAGGTATAGACAGTGCAGCTGCACTAGGGCCCGCACTGAACAGGGGGCCCATGACGTGAGCGGCCCTGCCAGGTTACGAGCAGGACTTTGTGAGTTACGTGGTAAAAATGCGTCTATAGGTAGCAGTAGACACCTAGCTCACCTTCTACTGTTTATATCAAAGGAGATCAGGTGGTATATATTCACTCAAATGTGCATTTCCACAATTACCACAGACCTTTGTGGTTAAAACTAATGACTGCAGTCAGTTTTACCTTCAAAAGTCTGTAGCAAGCAGTAGGCTATAAGGTATACGGGGAGGTTTAAAAAATGGATGCCACAGAATGAATTTAGTCTTATTTGCTTTGGTATTCGTGCCACATATGCAGTTATGATTGCTGGGTAATATGTGCTTGGCTGCCCAATCTATTCAAACATAAAAGTAGTTTCAAGAAGAGACAGGAGGGAAATGAACAGGAGGAGAGAGTCGCAAAGCTCCCAAATAAGATTGTTTTGGATTACTGAGGACATTGTCAAAGATTTCGCTCAATGCAGGCTCGTCGGATGCCTTTCAAATAGATGAGTAACTTTACAAATGCTTTTTCAGTGGATTTGGTTTTAAAACGCTGTTATCATTTCGGGGACAGGTCGTCGCTGAGCACCTGTTGGATGTTGTGGATGTGCTTGTGGGTATTAAACTGTGTGCGCCTTAGCTGGCCTGTTTTGAGGACATGATCTTGTTTATGAGTAGGCCACTTTCATTTCTGATTCACCATAATCTTTTGCCTCTCTGTTGAAGAGGAATGTGGTTGCCAAGATTAGGAAGGTTATGGTACTGAAAAAGTCATTCCAGCACAGTGCACACCTCTTGTGTTCTCAGCCGTTTGTGGTGACGTTTCAGGATTTTGACAATGACAGCATTGGCCCTGCTCCTTATAACTTTCTATTTGAATTCTGTACTTTGTAAATACAAAACTCTAGGTGATACAGTTCGATTCTAAAATCCATCATACGATGGTACTTTAGACTGCTGCGTCCAGGCGCACACAACACAGCTGCAGCAACAGCGCATGTGTGTGTTGGAGAGAAGCACATAAAGAGAACTGTTGAATTTAATATGTTAACATGGAAAGAAATCAATTTAAGGAGCTTTAAAATAAGTAAGTTAGGAATTTACTGCATCTAGGTACAATTTGCAGTGTTCAAACAACAACACATACAATGTGCATGTGTGTGTGAGTGTATGACCAGACAGCATACCCTTTGAACATCACGAAGTAAATGAGGCCTAACACGCTACTACCACTTCTCCCTTTTGTCCAACCTCAGGTCGTTTCTTTCACTGCATTTAAATGTCCTCAATATGTCACACATGCATGCATGAACGCATGCATCCCTTTTAACACACGTATGCTTGCTTGTGTGCCAGCGCAAACAAGGCACACAAATTTGCCAATAGAGGATTCAAACGCAGTGTGGGTGTGTGCGTGTGCTTCGTAACTGTGGAGCTCTAACATCACCTCTAACATCTCAGAAATACATGGTTAATAATCTGGGAATGCACAAAGCATACTGAAAAATGCAAAACTCATTTAACTACCTCCGAGTCTCTGCAGCTTGCTGCTGCTCTGGGCGAGCAGCTCTTTGGCCTCCTGCTGAAGTTCGTCCGCTTTCCTCCTCGCCTTCAACACTGACTCCCCTTTATCCTCCACCAGGTACTTCACGTCCTCAAATTTATCTTTCACCTCCCCGTCAAACTCCTTCACACAAACAGAATAAGCATTGCTGGGATGGCAGCAGCAGATAGTAGCATGTTGTGAGAGTTTTATGTGTTAAATCAAAACTTAAGGATGAGTAAAAGACCTGCTGGGCCTCCTTTGCGTTCAGTTTGGCCTGGTCTGTGATCATGTTGCACGTTTCCACCAGGCGGTTGACCTCCAGGTTGTTCTGTCTCAGCAGGCCGACCTCCCTCTCCAGCTGAACCAGACGACCTGTGGTGTTGCTGAGCTTCAGCTCTGATATGGACGTCTCTGACTCCACCTGATAAACACACAATGAAGCAAAAGATAATGGTTCTGTTTCATTTATCTGCACATGAAGCTTTAATCAGCCAGAGAAAAGAGGGCTGTCACTTCAGTATAGAATTTTGAAAAAATTGATAGAGACAACTGTGGCCAGATGTTACAAAAACAGACAATGGACGTTTCTTTTTATGCCTCCAAACCAATAAAATTCAAGGCATCAAAAGTCACTACATTTTATTGGCTGAGCTACCTATTAAAGACATGAGTTCACAAGGTAGAAAACTGTTTCTTCAAGTTTTGAAGGAGAGAAAATTAATTGTGTAATATGTTGTATAGAGACCCTTCATTAGAGCAAGACATTGCTCTGTGAGTGAGATATTGGTGTTTTGTAGTTCGTCTTTGGGACACTTTTTGTAGAGTTTACAGTAAGAGGTAGTTTCCGTCCAAATTTAGCATAAGTTTAGCATAAATTTTAAGAAAATTAAAGCTTGTTTCCAACCATGACGAATATCAGGATAAAAAGTAGGAGGCATTAATTCACCAGTAAGGGCCATTAAACCATTGCAGAAAAAGAGGGTGTAATGGCGTGACGTCATTAAAAGAACATCAGTCAAACCTCAAATTAATGAAAATAATATAGAAGACATGACAGATAAATGGCATTTCTGTTTGTTTAATGTATTAATGCGAAGAAGCTTGCAGCCTCTTCATCGCTCCACAGATCTGATGTCTTCATCTCTTCAGCTGAAGGTTAAGTGACGTTTAAGTCACATGCTTCATGTGCGTCACGGTTAATTATCCAAGTCTGTTTCCATTTACTTTGTAGCATTTTGCTCCTATCGATACACCAACTTTTCCACCTCAGACAAGCAAAAATAACTTATTATGCAATATTTTAACCTTTCTTTTGTCGATTCCACTCAACGCGCTTACTGTATTTTTGTTGATAAGTTAGTTAGGGCTTCAGTTTGGATTATGTTCAAAGAAGAGTTTAGTTAGACCAAGTTTTGTTTTATTAATTTCATTTATTTTTGCACAACCACTTTGTCCTCTTTCTCACATGTGCAGAGAACCTTATTTGTCGATGCAAATATTGTTAATGGTTAAATAAATACCACACATTGTAATTCTGATTTGTTTCTGTTCTTATGTTAACTGTTTTTGTGTTACTGTTTCCAAGTTCCCGAGTTAACATCAGGGTTGTCATTAAAATCGACTTTTTGTTTTTACAAATTCCAAATTTTGCATGTTGGAGTTTCTCACATGTGAGAATATCTTCATGTTTTTTTGATTGTTATTCTGACTTAGTAACTTTAAAATTAGTTTGGGTTCTGGCAAATTGTGCTGGACATCGTAAGTTTTGACAATCAGTGGTTAAAACTATCCTTATAGTTGAATCACCGATCACATAGAGACTAAAACTGGTCTGATTTTATTTATAAAACACCAAAACTCTACAAACTGATGGTGATTCTATAAGCTAGCTAACAACTAAAAAAACTTTTGTAACCTGTATCGTAACCTTGGAGGTCAGAGGTCAAACTCACAGTGATCACCAGGTCCAGGGTGGCTTTAGTGTTGTTCTGGGCCAGTCGGATGGCGTCCATGGCGATACTCTGAGCGCGCTCAGTCTCATCCAGGGCTGCCTTCACTGTGTCTGCTGTCTCCTTCATGTTAGAGGCCTCCTCACTGATGGACAGATAGTGTATCTGTTAACACTCTTAATCTGTGTTTACACTGAGCATGTTTTATTTATAGTAACGTAACTTTATTTATAAATCGTTTAGAGACAAGCTGAGAAAAGTTGAAAGTGCTGATGTGGGGATTTCACAAAGTATCTCATTTATGTCTGTTGACATTTGTAGTATCTGTATCATCTGTAGTATTTTTGGTGATTTACAAGAAAAAAGGCACAAACAAGTTGGGAATCACCAGTAAATCACTTTACATGAAAAAAGTCTTTATTGTAGTGTTATGTCTTACAGCCAATCCAAATTTAAGTGTGCATGTTACCTGGCAGCCTTGGCCTGTTTCAGCAGCGTCTCTGCAAGCTTGATGTCCTCAGCGCTCTGACTGAGGATCGTCTCCACGCTGGTCAGAGTGCCGACTTTCTCCCGGATCTCCTTCGTCAGCTCCTGCAGCTTTTCTGTGGAGGTCGGCATCTCCAGAGCCAACACCTCGTTGGCCACCGCCTCAATCACTGAAACATCTGCCTTGTCACCTGGATTCACAAGAAACAAAACATTGTTGGTGCTTTTTTCCCATGAGTTCTCAAACAATAAGGTTATCTTTAATGGATACCTTTTATATATATTGAAAATCTAAAGAGTGATTAAGAAAAGACTGTACAATTTATTTATTTTTTACCAAACTCCCATTGGGATTATGTGTTATTTTTAAACATTTGAACACACATTTTAGGTAAACTTCAGACTTAAAGCTAACACCCAAAATTATTAACCAGTGTATTAAAAGACTGAATAGGCTTAGTTCAAATAGATTTAGGCACATCAATTTTACATGTTGATCATATCATAGACTTAAGATAAAGGTCAATTTCTCCATATGATATATTGCATTGACAATTGCAGTCCAGTTGTAATTTGTTGGAAGATTTGTCTGCATCCATTTCATTATCCATTTACTCAAAAATACAAATATGGCTTTGTTAATAAATCATTCAAGCTACAAAGGTGTTCAAAAGTAAGAGTTATGGCTCAGAATATCTAATAAATGCATGATATTTGAGCTGCCATAAAACAAGAAGTCTCAAAAGTAAAAGTATGTCCCTGTAGACCATATGGAGAGTCTGTGTTTGTGGCGTACTCACTGGTTAGCAGGTCTCGTATCTCTTTGATGAGGTTGCGCAGCTGATCGTTGCTCTGCTCCACTCTCTCTTTGCTCTGGTTGGATTTGATCAGCACCTCCATAGCGTTCACCTTGGCCTCGTTTGCACGGTTGTTGGCTTCCCACACCTGACCACAAAGAAAATCAGTGATTTGCTCACATCCATCTTGAGCTATAAGAAAAATTGACACATTTACTCACCATCCTGGAGAGCTTGTCCACTTCCTGCATCGCTGCCACAATCTCCTGGTCCAGGTCTTTGGCTGATTTGAGAGCAGTTTGAGAAGTCATGACAACGCCTCCACATTCTTTTCCGCCGCACTGAGGTGCTCCGTCCTCGCCAAGACAACCCAAACCACCGCAGGGCGAGCCAAGGCAGCCGAGACCTTCTGCTGCACCACCACATGTCTGCAGAGAGAGAATAAACACAAAGTGATTACATCAACATACAATGTAAGTGAATATTTAATCAGTTTTATGTTGGATTTTTGTCATAGGCAAGTATTTCGCCAGCAATGTTCAGCATTAAGATCAAACTTTACTGAGGAAAATACATTGTTGGCTCTTTATAGTAGAGACAATAAAGAAAATATAACCTGTGTTGTTTTCAGGAGGATCTAGTCCCTTGGCCTTTCTCACCTTCTGGCTTAGTGGTGACAGGTCAAATGTATTCAGCTCGCTGGACAGTGTGTCCAGCTTCTGTGCGTTTCTTTGGTGCTTGCGGTCAAACTCCTTCTGCCTGCTGCTCAGTTTGTCCTCCGTGGCTTTCCGTACTGTGGCTGACTGCTCTAATGTGTTTCTGGGATTACTGGTCGAGGCGTTGGCACGGAGCTCTGCCATCATAGACTTCATGTGTGCAGATGCAATGGTGTCCATCGCACCTGAAAACACACACCCACACATCAAAGGGTTTCTGTCTGTCTGGGATATCATGGAAGTCCAGTAAAGTTAGGAAATTGGATAATTTACTTATGGGAATATCAGCACCAGTATGCTAAGTGAAACTGGGTTACTTGACAGGAATATAGTAGCATGTAATTTTTATTCAATTATTGGTGGTTTTCAGGTTTAGTACGAATCAGCTGTTTTGCCCCATCTTTCCACCAAAATTAATTGAAATCTGTTCATATTTCTTTCAGATAACAAGCTAACTAACTAACAGTCATTAAAAATAGAACCAAAGTTTTATAAACACACACTGCCGTTTTACGAGACTCCAGGGTGAGAAAAAAAGGATGAATGAAGAATGGAAAGGAGGAATATGCTGATGACACACTTGTTTCCCTGTTAAAGGTTTAAAAAAAAAGTCACACACTGTTCCTCTCCTACAGTCCTGTTCCTCACCCTGGATGTTGGCATTCTTGGCGTTGTACACTTCCTGTCTCAACTCCTGGACACTCAGCTCCAGCTGGCGGGCCTCATCCATCAGTGCATCCAAGTTTGCACTGGTGGCGTTGGCGTCACTGTGGATAAGGTTCAAGGTCTCCTCTGTTGTGTTCAACTTTCCGTTTAGGTAGGACATCAAACCCCTGAAGAAAAAAGTTTGTTAAATTTAAAGAAAAAGGTGTCTCCTACATGTCTTTGCAAATCTCTGTTTATGTACATACGTAATCTGATGCATCAGATCCTGTATCTGCTCCAGCTTCACTGCTGCAGGGTTGCTCTCGACTATTTCTTGGACAGCCTTGGCGTTTCTCTCCAGACTGCTGACTAATTCTTTGTATGGTGCCGTCACCCCGCTGCTCATGAGCTCTGTTACTTGGGCCTCCAGACGTCTGGTTTGATTGGTCATCTCGCCGACCAAGGTGTCCCAGACAGCAAAGCACTGGTGGCAGGGTTCACAGGCAGGGAACTCACCCTGGTAGCCCCTGGCGCACTGGTCACACCGTGGGCCGGACACACCCTCCACACAGGTGCACTGACCTGTCGCACGATGGCACTGCTCGCTGGAGATTCCCCGAGAGTCGCAGTCACAAGCTGGAAAACACACAGAGAGGAAAGTCAGTAATTACAGGAATCCAAATAAATCCAGGAAATAGAAGAATTGCTTTGTAAGTTCCAGCCAGCCCAGATAGTTTTGAAGAAACCTAAAAATGTTCTTTTAATTTATATACAGTAATTTATATAATAAGTTTCTCTACATGGTGGTGTAATGCTTTCACAAGAGAGCCTTTTCTCTATTGGTAATAAATTCTGGTGGGAAAGTTTGTTAAATTATATTCATTCATTTATTTATCTACTTTTCTGGGCCTTAAAAGTATCAAATCTCAGTACACTACATTTAAAACACTCTTGTATCTGTCTGTTTAAACCCCACATTGTTTAACTTTAAGTTACTCACTTTCCCTCAGTTCCCTCAGTTCTACATATTACCATAAAAAAATACTGTGTTCTCAATAGTAGTTCCAGCTCCAAGTGCATCTAATAAAACCTTACAAAGATGAAAGTGAAATAAAGGGCAACTTACATATGCATATATAATGGAAACAAAAGTGAAACCATGTCATTTATCCTACTGTATTTCATTGTTGGTTTTCCAGTTCATTTGGTATGGAAGGTCAATACAAAACCTGGAAATTAAGGGAGCATTATGAACTAATTTTCCATTTAAGGTGGAAAATTATACTGATGTACAGTATTTGTCCTTGTCCCTGTACATTACTTGATGAAAAAAGAAAAATCAAATTTTATAATTATATTGTCCACCTAAAGCTTGCTTGAGGCGTAATGGATTAATAATAATCGACAATTTTACAGTTATTTAATTAACCATGGATAAGTATGACCTGAATGACTAAGAATCTTCGGTTATGTGAGATGCGTGGTGTTTATGTCTCCAAGGGAAATGAGCTATTTAGAAACAACATTTATTCAACATCCAGCTCCTCCAGTAAATAAACTTTCACATGAACAAGAACGTGAAGGTCATACTGACCCCTCGAGTGTACTACACAGCGCTGCCATTCCTCCACAGAGAAGAGGAGGAGGAGGTTTGGTGTAAATCAGAATGAAGGAATGCAGGATTTGAGAGGTGTTTACCATCAGTTTGCTGCATTTATTTGTGTGATTTATGGAGCAGAAGGTGAGGGTTGGGTTTGAAGTTTTTTTTTTTATCATGGTGAAATAAAAGAAAGATGCAGACAAGATAAACGTTTTTACCTCTGACATCTAAATCTGGACATAACAACCGCTCAGCTGTGGTGACATCTTTAAAGGCTTTAGTATCAACACTGTCTCATAGAAATACACTACATGGTGCTCCAATTTCCCATGAATTTGCACATTAGTGTTTCATCTGTGCAGACAGAAAGCGAGGTCCAGCTGGTTTAACAGCTTAAGAAGCCTTTATGAAATACAGTGGGAATAATTTAGGATTCCTGGGTCCTCTGGGTGTTGATGCATGACGAAAATGGGATGCCTGGGAGTTCTGGAAAACATCTGGTTCTCATGAGCAGGGAACGAGAGGTAATTCCGAGATCGCCTCCCTTTCCTCGCCCTTTTCTGTTTCCTACTCCCTCTCTCTTTCCTCAGAGGGTGAGCCAGCTACTGTGAGGTGCACATTTCTGCAGATAGACTCTCCAGCACTTACCAAAACTTTCAGGGATCAGAGACCGATCCTGTTGTTGTTTGACATTCATGCCAATAAAGCTGAATTGAATTGCCGACCAGCAGCTCGCTGATTCACTGCTGCTGACATGTAATCTCTGTCGAACAAAACCAACTTATTCCAAAGCCATTTCACAGTAACCACTGGTATGCTCCCTCATACACAACAGCAGAAAACCATGGAAAAACAATATAAAACCCAAGTCCTCTAACATGGTGACTCAGAGGAATACAGAAAACAAGGAAACAGTACAGTCAGGAAATACTACGAGAGTGATGTTGGCTCTGTGCTCCTGCGCGCTGGTTTGAAATGAAACAGCATGAGATTTAACACTGTTAAGAGTGATTACATCCTCATTAGGTGAACAGTGTAAGACTCATGCACTTTCTTATCCATAGTCCCCCTGTGTTAGGACAATGACCTTAAACATACAAACAAGGCAGGAAGTTCTAGGCTGGCCAAATCTTTTACCTGACTGTTGAAACGAATGTCAAAAAGCTCCTGAAAAAAAGCAGGAACTGAATGTTGCTGCAGTCTAGGCCTGACTGAGCATTACAGAAACCACAAAATACACCGCTCAAGTGTACTACACAAAATATAATAAAGAGAATTACTAACCAAATATTTAACTTCCCATTAACTGATTATTTTGGCCACTTGCGGGGAAACAAGCTGTAAACACAGCATTCATGTACAAGCTGACTATTTACACATCTGGCTGTTACAAAGGAACATCAGCATTCCTCAGGAGTTATGTTTTTTCTCTCTTTCAGCTCTGTTTTTACATTAACATTTACTCATTTGGCAGACGCTTTTATCCAAAGCGACTTGGACTTTGGTCTCTACCAACGCCTGAAGGAAATATTTGACTCTTTAACTGCTAAATGCTCCACTTTGGGTCACCCTGGTGGGCACATCATCGTTTTATCTACCATAAGGGCATGCAAGAGGGCACTGTTGTGGCGTTTCTTCTTGCAATTGAGCTAATGAGTGCAGTGAAAGTGAACCCAAATAGTAAAGTTGTGAGGCAAAAAACAAATGATGAGCTTAAAGATGTTCCGGGTAGTTAGGTGGTAATCCTCTGTGGGTTTGTTACCACAAGTGACACCTTTTAAATAAAACTAGTCATTTGACACAACTGTTAATGTAACTTTTTGATTAAAGCATTATAACTTGTATTATACTTTATGTTCAGATAAAATAAATAACATAATTAGTGAATGATGGAAGCATGTCAGAACTGACTTTGGATCCTCCCAGGTCTGTTGGGTAATGTTTTTTTGTTTGTTCACATATTGGTGAAAGGTAGTGCCTACCATTACATTTGACCTCTGGATCCCCCCAGAAGAACTCTCTGCACTCCCGACACGTCTTGCCACCAAAACCGGGTTTGCACGAGCACTGTCCTGTGACCTACAGGAACAACAAAAACCCAAAGAACGCCAGGTCAACAAAATATTGTAAAATATTATCAGACAGTAACACTTTTTGTGTCTAGAATAGCTGAACTTTTGGACTAACGCAGTGTGTTTTATGTCTTTTCTTTCACATGCAGACACAATAGACCTTTGTAGTTTGATATAACCCGGCCCTCTTAGAGAAATGTGTATTCAGTTATTCCACAGTGTATTCTGAGACTTCCTTCCTCTGATGGAGAGCAGCCAGTAAACACAAAAACCCAAATGTTTGTGTGTGTGTGTGTGTGTGTGTGTGTGTGTGTGTGTGTGTGTGTGTAGCTGCACTCTATTCTGTACAATGTATGTTTGTGTGTACACACGTAGATTTGTGTGCACGAGTAAAATGGAGCTGCAGAGAAACAGAGAGAGAAGCAATTCCCAAACAGCTGGGGTCCATATATCAAAAAAAATATACAAACACAGGCCTCTGTGATTAGATGGGTTGGTCACAGTGACTTACTGTCACCCTGCAGCTTTGCTCTGAAAGAAAATTGTTTGGAAAATGTCCTGGCCAGTACCCACATTGTGTCAGGAAAACTGTGGCAATAACAGTTCATTGAGACACAATATTTCCAGGTTCAACGCTGGGATTAAGTTCAGCTATACATCATAACGAGGGGGAGAAAATTGGAGCAGCTGCTTCAATGCATGAAATGATGCAGACAGATGTTGGGACTCGGTGAGCGGTCATGGCTCTTGGTTTTCATCACAGTGTCTGACTCACCTCATTGCAGGAGGATCCGAGGGAGTGGGCGGGGTTGCAGTCGCAGCGCTGGCAGCCCTTCCCGCTGGCGATGTTCCACGTATCGGCAGCACAGCGGTCGCAGTTCTGACCGACCACGTTCGGCTGGCAGGGACACTGGCCGCTACGCTGATCACACTGACACTCGTCAGGGGACAAACAAGCCTGAGGTACTGAGCCCTCGGGGTAACACATACACTCTGCACATAGGAGGAAAGAATACGTTTTTTCAGAGATGTTCCAAGCAAGCCAGAGACTCTTTTGAATGTCCTTCAGAACTTTTCAAAGTAAAAGCTCTCAATAAACTCGACATAAAGCATTGCTGCAAAAATTTTCTCACGCTTGTATTTTGGAGGCAGAATCACTTATGAAGAAGTTATTGTGAGAGTAACTGTGGCTGTCATGAATAAAATCTATTTCAGCACAATTTATTTTTTTCTATGCTATCAAAGCAAGCTGGCCTATTGCCGACCACTGATATACAGTTTGCCGACAAGTAACATGACAGTGAAATGTTTCAAAGACATGTTTGAGATCATTTAAAATAGTATCTACCCACCAGAGAGCACTAACAAGTGTATTTTTTTACTCTAAAATATCAGTACATATCTACCTACATATAAACATAGAATCAAACATGCTGAATCATTTGCATGTAAATATTCCCTTACATACAGTAAGTCAGTGGTGCCACATTAACAGCTGTACTCACTCCTGCAGCTCTGAGTGGCGGCGTTGCCGTAATAACCCAATTTGCAGTGCTGACACCCGTAGCCCTGAGTGTGGTACAGGCACTTGAGACAGGCTCCCGTCCGAGCGTCACAGGACTCGGGGTCGTGCATGTCGATGTTGTTGTTGCACTGGCAGGGCATGCAGCGCCCACCGGGCACCAGCGGGTTCCCAAAATAACCAGGAGCACACTGGTCACACCTGGCACCTGGATAAGGAAAGGAAACATGAAGTAAATGAATGTCAGAGAGCACTTTTTAAGTTCTGCAGGTTACTTAGAGGGGACATGAAGTTTTGTTTTGGTTTGTAACATGTGATATGTGGGGTGAAGACAAGCTGTTTACATAAAAACAAATCTGGTATTACTTTTTACTTTGAGCTGCTGTGTGTGTGCGTGTTTATATACCTTTGTATCCAGGGCTGCACACACACACCAGCTGGTTAGTGTTAGCCAGGAGGTAACAGCTATCAGAAAAGTGGCGTCCACTGCGCGGCCCATCGGGGCACATACAGGGGCGACAGTGGCCACCTGAACCCAACTCTGGGTCACCATGGTAACCATCCAGACACCTGGAAATAAAGGAAAAGGTAAAGTAGAGAGACTCCCAGATCCCTTGACTCCCTTGAATTCCTCTGATTTAGCTTTCTGGGTCTGCCTGGTGGGAAATGTTAGTCAAAAGTCAGTGTTTTCACAATGACACCCTGCAACTGAGGAATTAAGAAATGAACAACTTAAAGCCTAAACTCTAAGCTTTACAACCCATAATAAAAAAGTGTTGGATGGAACAAACTTACTAAAGATTTAGCTGTTTTCAGATCCTTATAATCTGTCAATCCAGTCTTTAAGCTGGAATATATCTGTGGCTGTAATAAGCATTGAGTCTAAATGAAATGATTGGCTGGCCTACCTACCTACCCGCACGCTCTCAGTTAGCAGGGGGCGACTCCACTGGTTGCAGAAATAAGTCTAATTGCATTGGATTCTGTGATAATTTGACCCTACTTGTCACTTGATTTATTACTTCAGTAAACACCTTCTTAATGAGTTTATGGCCTCAGTCTTCTGTAATACAGCATGATGCTCATTTTGTAAATTATGGTCCCATTTAGAGGAAAAAGTGGCAACCACAGCAAGAGAAGTGAATGTACTCACTGCTATGTGTACGTTTAACTAGCCCTGAACTTTTTTGGGTGTTGTCAGTGTTTTTTTCCTGAGTGCTTTGACCATCTCACAGTCTCTTTTTAGTTCCCGAAAGTTAACTCTAACATATTGGTTGCCTAAAAATGTCTTGTTCAGCAGTCGGTTGTATTGAAAGGAGTCGGCTGTTAATTTCTTCCAACGAAGGTTAAAGTCAAGGGCAACTGGACTTGGTTGAAGATACTGGAAAACGTTTCATCACTCATCCAAAGGACTTCTTCGGTTCTGACTGACTGGCAGGGAAACTCAGCTATTTAACCTCAGTGGGGTCGTTATCCCGGGTCATCGATACCGCTGGTTCGTTAGTGTTCCTGGTTGCTGTGACGACAGTCGTTACAGTCGTTAGGACTACCTGTGGCCAAGACTGAACGACCATCGTTGGTATCTTCACCTGAGGCCAATAGGTTAACGTTTGTTGAGTTTCCTGGGAAGTGATGAAAGGACAGCATTGTAAGTGGGGGATAAGTGGTGGCGTAGACCCCCTCCTCTGTTCAATGACGGCTTCTCGACCCGGGTGTAGATGGCTTCCTTGACACCTTTGAGGACCACCAGGTGCACATTTTAGACAGAGAAGATGGATGGTTTGAAAGAGGCGTCAAGGAAGCCATCTACACCAGGGTCGAGAAGCTGTTATTGAACCAGCGGTGTCGATGACCCGGGCCAACGACCCCACTGAGGTTAAATAGCTGAGTTTCCCTGCCAGTCAGTCAGAACTGAAGAAGTCCTTTGGATGAGGGACGAAACGTCTTCCAGTATCTTCAACCAAATCCAGTTGCGCTTGACTTTAACCTTCGTTGGATAACTATGACCTGGATGACTGAGAATCTTCATAGACATCTGTTAATTTCTTGCATAGTACATTTTGTTTTAAGTCTGATTTTCACTAGCCAAAATTTGCATCCCAATTAATATCACAGTTAACAAGAATTACGGATGCACCTTATTAACAAAGCTAGCTGGCTCCAACCTCTCATCCAAATATGGTCACTTCTTCTTCCAAAAAACAAGATGGCCAAAATACCAAACTCAAGCCTTCAAAACAGCAGTCCACAAACCAATGGGTGACAGTGGCTGCCTCCACTTCTTCTATGCCGTCCATGCTCTAACCAGAACTACAGTCGCTCACAATATAGAAGTAGTAAGTCAAAGACAACTGGAAGACCAGTTTTAGTCTTAGCAACAGTCATAGAAACATCTTCAAAACTTAAACAAGTTAATCTTGTTGCCTTTAGTACTTATTTAATATACCAGATAAGTACCTGATCCTATCACCAAAGAGCAGAAACAACTCTCAAAAACTCAGAGGACATTGCCACAAGACACCCAACATACTTCCTGTGGTTGGTCAAACTGCATCTAAATTCACGATCACCAGGCTGTACCTCTCACAGTGGTTTCCAGTAGTGAAGTCTCTGCAGCCCTGACACTCTCCAGTCTGAGGGTGGCAGTCCTCGCTGTGGCCGTTACACTGGCACGGTCTGCACTGAGGGAAGCCCCAGAAGCCGGGCAGGCAGTGGGAACACTGGCGCCCCATGGCCCCTGGGACACACTCACACTGGCCTGTCGCCTCATGGCAGAAGGCGCTGACCGCACCCCGGGGGTCACACTTGCAAGCTGAGGGTGAAATTTGAATCATTACACTTGTTGTTAAATAAGCATCAAATCTTACAGTCATGCCCAACACTTACGTCTGCAGCCGGCGGGGCCAAACAGGAACGTGGCAGGGGCACAGTGGTCACAGTTCCTGCCGACAACGTTGGGTCGACACTGACACTGACCTCCACTGGACTCACACACAGTGCTGAGTGAACCCTGAGGGTCACACTGGCATGCTGGGAGACAAGACATGATAGAGAATAGTGGAGATGTATGGGAATGTTAAGATAATTATTACTCGTACAGTAATTAAATCTTCTCTTCCTGTCTTCTGTGATTTTTCTACAAGACAAGTACGTTTATTGGGGCTCAAAAATCTAATTTAAAGTGATGTTTATATGAAGTATACAGGGAAGTGAATATATCCTCCTTTGGGCAAATCAATAAATATCTCATTTTCTTTTTACCTGTGGTTGTGTTAGTGTTAGATTGTGTTATGATATTTAGAAATATAAAAGCGTAACCACCAGCAGTACCGCTATGGAACAATGTTTATACGTACGTGGCAGCAGTTTGTTTGATCTTGCTGACGCCGAATGCACACACAATACACGGTGCTGCTAATGGTCTTACACTACTCACCTGGTCTACAGATGTAATGTGCAGCAATGAGCCACCAAATGCAGGAGAGAAGAAGACTGCTAGCATGTAAACATGGATGTAAACAATGCAGGTTTCAAGCTTTAATGAAAAATCTGCTTTGTAAATGTTTTATTACGAAGGAAATACATTTAACAGGTTTGTTGGGCCTCAAAGATTCATGATATGTTTTAGTGAGTAACAAAAAATGTAAACAGAAACTTAGAGCTTAAAAATGAGTTGATTGATTCATTTATTTATTGACAGAAAATTATAGAGATTTTAATACTTAATTAGTTCTGGTTCTAGTTCCAATGCTGCTTTTCTTTGATTTAAGTGATAGTGAACGAGCAATCTGTGGGTTTTGGACTTTTGGAGAAAACAGTGATTGTCAATTTTCACTATTTTACAATATTTTATAGGCCATAGTAATCAAAATAATAGTTAGTTGTACTTCAACCTTAAATAATAGACTGAAAAACAAATCCACAGGCTGACTCTTATATAATTTCTTCCTCATATTAAGTACTAATACACTACTTCACAGTATATACACTACTACAACTGACAGTAAACTCAATGGACACTGAATAGAAAACATTGAAATGTGTACTTTCATATCTTTCAATTAATGTTTTTTTATCAAAATAAAATAGTGATAATAAGAAAATGCCTACCTACTCACATATATATACACACACACAAAATACACACCCATGGCTCCTTTGTGCAGCAGAGCAGAGACGCTGAAGATGTAGTCGATGCAGATGTTGGTCATGGGGTTTTTTACGACGCTCTGGCTGCTCTCCAGACATCGGTAGCGCTGGAACGTATCCCACGCTTCCTCTCCATCGACCCCATGGAATATGTCCAGCTCCCTGACCCGAGGTATCAGCACCAGCTGTAAGGAGATGAGAAAGAAGGAGGGGTCAGGGGGGATGGAAACCATAATAAAAACACAGGTTTGAAGGAATAGAGTAGCAAAGGGAGTTATTTCAGACAAATTAAAAGTCCTTTAAGATAAGTTGGGAGTTAAGTAATGAATGTAGAACATTTTATCCAACGTACGGAGTCGATGAGCGTGTACGGGCTTTGGACGTCACTGACTGAAGAGTAGAGCGGCAGACTGAGACGGATCGTGTAGTTCAGTCCTTCCTCGAAACACACCGGCCTCACCAGCAGCACATGTCTGAAACACAACAGAGTGTCAGTGTCTGTAGTGAATGTGTCTCAAGAGACACAGTGAAGTATATTGTTACGCTTTACCTGGATCCAGGTGGAAGAGAGATGGTCTGCTCGTCTCCACCCTGGATGGAGTTGCTGCAGTGACCGTAATAGTTTGGAGGGTTGAAGACGGGACGCTCCACTCGGACGTTTACCTCCTCCCACTGGTCTGGCAGCTGCCAACATACACAGACACACATGTTATTTATTCTTAAAACTTTATACTTAAAACTAAAACTAATAAAGTTAAGTCAACATAACTCTGTTTAAATTAGAACCACAAATATTCTGTGTATCTTTCTTTTGTGTAGCTAGCTTCTGTTCTGTAGCTGAGACTCAATGGGATTTTCTGAAAAAAACATGGTAAAACATGTTCCTGGAGTCTAAAATTAGAGGTACTACTATACTGGAAAATACAAAATTAAAACCATAATATTTTAACCAACATAGGAGCTAACAAAATTTATGTTGTTTCTGCTCAGATTTTACCATTCAGAACTGTAGTAGATACACATTTAACATAATATGGAAAGAGTGACAACAGTGTCATGTTTCAGCTTTTCAGAAAGAATGTTAAAATATAGATTAATCACATAAATGATGTCTATTTTTATATTCTTTCAACATTCAGTTATATTTTTCTGTGAATGCGATGTGCCCCAAACATTTTTGTGGCCTTTAAACAGTCAAGTTCAAGTATATTGACTCTTAAAAAATATTCTAAGCAGCCTTGAAATCCCACCATGTGTAATTTATGTGTAATTGTCGAAGATAAACTCCTCTTCAGGTTAAAACACCCAAATTCCCAGAAACAAAACCGTGGACAAAGCCTGTGTCCTTAAAGAAAGCTTTGGTCCCTAAGTTACAAATGCTAGCGACACCAAAGAGTTTACTTCAGCCAAAAGCCTTGAACCTTTTCTCTCTTGTTTTTTTGTTTTAATAAAAGCAGTATAGAGCAAAGCAAAAAATGACCCTTTCCATATAATGTCTCGTCACAAACACAAAGAAAAAACCTTTTTTGTCTGCTCTTGTTTCTCTCATTGGGTAACTAATGGAGCTAGATGATGCCTCTTCAACATCATGGTGCTTCTAGAGTTTCAACTCACTGGGTACCTTCAATCTGTACGACCAGCTGTAAACCGCTCCCATTCTGACTCTTTATTTTATTTCATGTATTTCAAAACTACTACTCAAGAAACAGCTAGAAGTGGCCTGGTCTTTGAAGGATTTCTATGATTTTAAACTCATATTCACATTTGCTTAATGTATAAATATGAAATATGTTTACGCCTGTGTTACCTGCGGCTCATAGCGAACAAGGATGTCATAGTCCATGGACTCTGGGAGGTTGTTGATGGAAAACTCTAAGTAGGCTCCTTCTGGCACGTTAACAAAACCCATTCCGGTCCACGTAGGACTACGATCCAGAGGGTAAGGCCTCGGTACCACCGTGACACCCTGGCAACAGGGAGGAAGAGATCAACAAACCTGAACATATCTGGGTAAAAGTAACAATGGTACAATAAAAACACTCACAGGTCCATGATTGGCGTCCTCTGCCTCGTAGGTGTAGTGATCCAGAGCGATGAAGTAGAAGCCGGACTCGATCTGATCGCAGCGTCGTCCGAACATGTGGTCTCTGCACACACACTGTCCCGAGTGAGGGTCACAGCTGTGGAGAGACGGATGGAGGTTGGTAGATATTAGACAAAACTCCAATATTATCCATGTATTTTTATGTACAATACCACATCTATTCATGTTCCTCCTTTTCTTTAATAGACCCAGCATTAATTAATCAATGTTATTGATTACACCTGTGGGTTTTCTGCTCTGACATGTCAAAATGTCTGCCTTATTATTATCTTGTTATCTCAGGTTAACAAGTGGTTTCTCATGATAATGAGATCATTGTCTGTTTCCCCTGAGATAATGATATTTTTTGACAATATATGTGTTATCAGAACTAACTAATTAACTTGTGATCTTGAGATATTTATGAGTTATAACATTTGGTTTAGATATATTTATTAAATATTGCTATATTTTGTCTTTGCTGTTGTCCATTACTATTTTGCTGTGGATAAAATAGGTTTTTTTTTTACCGTAATGAGTGTAAATATGGCTTCAAGAGCACAGATTTGAAATTCCAAATGTGCAAACTTTGCCTTCTTGACTATTGCTGGATTGTCAGTGGGAGTGTCTGAGATTAAAGGTAATATATCTTACCAACAGAACAGTAAATAAACTTTGGTCTCAAGCAAGTGGTGTTAACTCTAAAGGCAGAAAGTGTCAATAATAAGCTATATAAGCTGAGTCTTCTTTCTCCCTGCCTCTGTCGCATCCTCAATCATTAGTAAACGGCGGCTCCTGTATATGTACACTTGGGATGTTACATCCTACACATAATATAAAATCACATTGCATTATTTGATTTCTAAACTTTAATCAATGAATTAATTAAATTTAAACAAACTTATTGTTGACAGCCCCGCCCTGGTCACAGTCACATGGTCTGCAGCCGTCCATGTCATTGGACAGACCCCAGTGCTGCGGCTACAGTAGAAAGAATGGAGAACAAACGTTTGTTCATATGTGCTGCACACACACAGATATACATATATATATATATAGTGGTAAAAATATCCAAATTAAAGCTGACAGTTAAGTTGGGATCCGCACCAGACACTGATCGCAGTTATGTCCGTCAACGAGGCGTTTGCAGAAGCAACTTCCTGTGTCTGAATCACAAGAGTTTCCTCCAGGCAGAGTTCCCAGCAGGTTACAAGTACAAGCTGCCAAAACATACAACAAAACAATGAAGCAACAGATGCAACTGCGTCAGTGTGTCTGACTGTTGTGTTTCTACACTGTGTATGTTTGAGGAAGTTGAAGTTCTCCAGTAAGAAACCCTTTGAATCACTATTTCTATATTACAGACAACCTTTCACCTGTCCTTAAAATCACCATGAAACCAAATTTATTTATTTTTTAAATGAAAATTCCATTAATTTACCCATTAACAATGATGAAATTTTGACGATTTTTAGTGGCCAGTTAATGAATTATAATGTGTGTGGATTGAAGAATATATATGGTATTTTAAATTGAATATATTTATGGTTCAAGGACTTTTAAGGGGCAAAAACCCATTCACTGGCAAGGACCACACCACAACAATGTGTGATTTAGAGGTACATGCAAATGTGGAATGCATGGATTATGGAGGATGGATTAATGCATATAGAGGGGAAGGGTGATGGTGGAAGAAGGATGTCGTCTGATAGCCTTGTCTGAGACGGTGTACAGAAGACAAGGCAGAGGAGACTCCGAGTTGGGGTTCCGTCTCAGAGATGTTTTCGCCCGAGCTTATTTCAAGCCCCCCAGACGGTACCTAGATAACACATGACCTCTCAAGTCACGCTGTGCCCTGATTGAATAGGAAGGGATGAGGGAAGAGAGGATGGAGGGAACGGAGGATGAGTGGAACGGAGGATGAGTGGATGTCCAACCTCAGGCCTATGATTAGTTTTCCTTATTTTTAGTCATCACCCTTTCACATTTAGAATAAATATGGCAGGAAATGTAAATAAATACCATGGTTTTCTTCAGAAAGAAGATGACAGAAATGATTAAATCTGTATCTTATGGTGAACTAAGATATTTAACAGACAATTTAGAAACTTGGGACATACTATGGGCCTCAACAGTAGTCTGTTTGTGACTTACGCAGGCAGCCGTGAGGCCCTTGTCCCAGTCCGTAGTTTCCCTGTCTACAGTTGTCGCAGCGCTCGCCCTCTACATTGGCTTTGCATCGACACAGGCCTGAGATCAGCCCGGCTGCAACATCGGTTCGTGGGTCACACATCCCTCCCTGGAGAGACCCGTCCGGGTCGCAGTTACACCCTGTGGTCACACACAAAAAAAACATATGAATGCTAATGACTCCCACATCTTATGGTCTTGAAAAGATTAACATATTTTGGTAGAATATACTGCATGTTTAACCTTACAGATATAGTAATAGCAAAACCAACCTGTATCTCTCTACATTTCTTTTATTTTTTTCTTGGTTGCCTGGAAAATGCAACTGCTGAAAATAGTGTATGAATGAATGACTATCATCCACAATGGACAGACATAGTGAGGGAAATATGTGTGATTAAACAAATTAAATATTCCCTGAGAACTAAGGAGAGACTTCCACCAGAAAATGGGAGAAATGAATAACCGTTCCCGCAAACAACAAGGGCGGTACCAGATTTAAATTTGTATAAATCTAAGGACAAAATGGACATAAAAAAAAGTAGAGTAAAAGGTAAAAAATCAACCCAAACCAACTCAATTTGGTTGTCATGCTTTGTTGATATTTGAAAAATATTTTAAAATGACTACTGCCACACTACTGTGCATACACTTACCTGTGCTATATATGTGCTCAGATACACATCCATATTTATACTATTGTATACTGTACACATTTGACCTATAGTGAAAGAAAACAAATGTTTAAAATCTTACTACTCTTGAGAAAATAGGATGTGATGTGTCTTCATAAGTTCCATCTACATTGATTTCCTAAAGCATTAGCCTATCTTGTAATAACAGAACAGGTCTATTAAGTTATTTGTGAGTGAAAATGGACGAGCTAATAAAGAGCAAAGATCTGCAAAAGCAGCATGAGTTTTGTAAAGAGGAAAAGAGACAGTGAGTCTATTTCCAGTAGGTAATTACAATCATGCTGTAACAACGGCTACTTTCTGCTTTTCACTTCAAAGGCTTTAACAAAGTCGGTGAGTGCAGCTCCAGCTGGTGCTTGTCCAAGAAAAAACATGCACTTTACTAACAGAAACTAACAGACTTGTTCATGTCATGAGTGGACCATAAAGAGGAATAGTGCACTGGGGGGGTCAGAGGCCATGTGACTTACGAGCACAGACGTTGGGGTCCCTCAGGTCTCGGTTAGGGTGCTGGTAGTAGAAGGGCGCACACTGCTCGCACTGTCGGCCCACCGTGTTGTGTTGACAGTCGTCGCACACGCCTCCACTCATGTTGCCAGTCGTCATGTACACGGCCATGTCGAAGTGGCACGACGTGGCGTGCTGGTTACACTCACACTCTGAGAAAGAAGAGGACAAATAGTACAGTGCATAGACTTTACTCTTGGAAACTATTTATTTATCATTTATTTTGAATACCCTTGTAAATATTTATGTATTATGTCATTGTTCTCATATGTCTTAAATAAGACTATGTATTATTTTCATTATCAGTTAATCTACTGATTATCTTCTCGATTAATTGTTTAGTTTACAGTTTCAGTCGAATGATATTTAATTTACTATATGACAAAGAAAAGAAACAAATTCAGACATTTGCGAAGCTGGGACAGAGGAATGTTTGGCATTTTTATTAATCGATCATCAAAGTTGCACATCAACTTATCAATTAATCAGCTAATTGTTGCAGTTCTAGTCTGCACTTTGTTCAAATGAAGGTTATTAATAGAATAGTTTTACATTTTAGGAAATTAGTTCATTCGCTTCCTTGTGAGAGTTTGAGATTTATACCACTCTCATCATTGTTTAATCTGTCCTTTTTTTAAGCAGATTAAACAAGGAGGTGCTGGTGCAGGCCATCTGTTTCCCCCTGTTTTCAGGCTTTATGCTAAGCTAAGCTAGTCACCTGCTAGCTCTAGCTCCATACTGTCTTCACTGTATAGAAATGAGAGCGGTATCGCATCACACAAAATGTCAACAGGCGCAGAGCAAAAGACAGAAAAACAGAGAGTTGAACTGGCTTGTGTTCTTACTCTTGCAAGCGTGGGTGTTTCGTCCCTCTGCAGGTCTCCAAGGCAGATCATGGTAAAAGTCTTGACAGTGCTCACAGTTTAGTCCCTTGGTGTTGTGATTACATACACAGCGGCCATGGACCTACACACACACACACGCAAATTGGATTTGATTCCAAGCTTTTGTAAAGATTTGATTAAGAAAAATCTGTTAATGAATCCTTCATGTCCTCTCAAATCTTTGGTATGAATAAGCAATATACAAAAAATTCAGGCAGTCTTGGGCATGGAAGTTCATTCTTGACCTTGGGAAGCGATTTCAGAGCGCCTGCCGCAGTTAAAGACCATTGGATGTGTCCCTGCGGTCATTTAATAGCAAGAAAGTTAATCTACCAGGGAAAATAGTTTTAGTTCAAACATATTAAATGACTGAAACTTTAGTTTCACTCATTTAGTTTAGATGAAATCTACAGACCTTGCGGTGAGATTGTTTTCTTAACTGCTGTTTCCAAAGTCAAGAAACAAATTTGAACCTCAGCTTTAAAGCCAACATAAACAAGTTCTTAAAGTGTTTGGAAAAAAATGGAAATTTAAACATCTGCAATTCTACGACTCTGAATCTGCAGATCAGGGTTATATGATATGATCAAAAGCTACAGAACAGCTACTAAACTTACTTTGTGTTGAGATTTTTTTTCAAATAAAACCTAAAGACATTTGATAAAAGATTCAGAGAAAGATTCAGATCTGACTAAATGCTGCTTATGAAAAGGTCCATTTAGCAGCTTTTCTGGACCTTTCGTTCATATCACATGGTCTTCATCAGCAGATGGAGTTACCTTACCACTAAATTGTAGATTTCCATTTTTTTTCTGAGCACTTTAAGGACTTCTTGAGTAAAAGTTTCTCTACTTTTTTAAGGGGAAAAAGTACTTAAAGTGCTCTTTTTATGAACCCATCTGCTGAGGAAGACCTGTGTGGTACGAGTGAAAGCTCCAGAACAGCTACTGAGTGGGTAAGACTGTTTTGTTCCAATGTCAAGCATGAATTCTCAAACTCAACTCAACTCTCATTTTGGTCATTCTTATGATTTTTCTTTGGATTAAATTTAATAATTAAAATAACAAATCAATATAAAATGATATCGAAATGAAATAAAAACTGAATCTTGCATGCTTTCTATTTTATATTCTGTATATCTCTGTTTCATCTCTTGACTATGAGTCTAATGTACCATGCCCTCAGCTCCAGTGGGGGCTTCATCGATGGGGGCGCACTCGGAGGCGTGGCCGTAGCAGAAGCAGTTCCCGCGGACGACCATGTCATAGAGGGCGTAGTAGTACTTCTCCGTCACCTCGTCACGGGAGTCGAGCAGGTTGTCGCCCAACGTGTGGAGCTTGATGAACTTCACCCGGATGTTAGTGATCTTCAGCATGTCTGCACACACACAGGAGATTAGAGCGTTAGAGATACACAGGAAGGTGTCAGTGTAGTTAGTGAGTTTTCAAGTTTGTCGCAGAGTTTCAGATCTCAAGGACGCCGCTGCTGTTCGTCACACACCCACAGCATTCACCACATACTTAACACAAGGCCTCTGCAAGTGTGTGTGTGTCTCCATCTGGATGTAGGTGAGTGTACAGAAGCTGAGTTGCATCCATATGTTAAATTCCATGCAGTGCTCTTCCTGTCTGATTTCTGACCCGTGCAACTCTGCTCAAAGTAACAAGAAATCATCTCAATACTGTATTAAGTTCACTGGAGGTTTGTCTTTCCTTTGCCCACACACCAGGGAGGTCAGAGATCAGGTTCAAGTAAAGTGAAACAATGTGTTTATCCTTTTTGTCTATCTGTTTTATTTTGATATTTTTTTATTTTTATTTTTTTTAACAGTTTATCTTACTAGTATTATTTTCCAAATAATTTCCTGTAAGTTTACTGTGTAAATTGGTTCTGATAATATTAGTTATTAATATTATTCCAGTTAATTGCTTAAGTAATCTAGAGTCTTTCAGTCAGTAGTCACATACAGAAATGTAAAATTTGTCTACAGGCAAGAACACAATTCATTATGAATTGAAATGAGCTTTCCTTTCAAGGATATTCATATTTTTCCTAAGATTAATACTAAATTGAGTAGTATCTTTCACAAACCTTCTTTTAAATAATAAGCAAATTACAGACATGTGCTGTACATGACAGTTGTACTTAAAATGTCCCAAATTTGGTCTTTTATTACCCCATAACCACCTCAGCCAAGTCTCATTTTCATATCAAGTGTTTGGTAAAGATGTACCATAAAATAACTCTAATTTTATGGATTAAAATGTTGGTTTAATTGAATGAAATCAATAATTAAAATAATTCTATGGGGCCATGAGATGTAGCCTCCATATCGCTGCTGATATATAAGCAATTTTTTTCAGCAATTCAAACTCAGGCTATGCAAAAGGATTTACAGGAAAGCAGAAAAGATAATTCAGAATTTGGTAAATCTTGTATTTTTTCCTGTAAATTACTGGATGATTTTACTTCATCAGACTTCAAATAAATCATTAAATTATTCATTCAAATAAATTAATCTGAGAGGGCCATCTTCATTACTTGTGAAGAGTGGCCACCTTTACACACAAGATTCACCAGCAAAATAACAATAACACAATGCCAGCAACACAGCAATAATAGTTTTAAAGCTGACAAAGCTTTATGGCATTTTAGGAGCAGCTTACTCTGTATCCTCAGGCTGTAGGGGTCCTCAATGTTGAAGGCGGGGTCCAGCACCCGAAATATAACCTAAACGAAAAAAAGAGAGAGAAAACCAGTTGAAAGTTTGAATTGGAAGTGAATTTTGAGAGCACAGAGACTTTTATCAAAAGGCTCACCTCTCCCTCGGTGGATGGTTCGATGTCTGAGTAACGGGAGTCGCAGATGATTTCGTCCACTTTGTACAATGGACCTGACGACACGCCGGGGAAGGATGTCTCGCAGTCGTAGGCAAAGTATCGATAAACCTGCCAATTCTTCCCAAAGTCCATGGATCGCTCGATCACCATGGCAGCCGGACGAAATGTCTGTCAGCAGAGACGGACAGAAAAATCTCTAAATGACTGGCAAACATTGGTCTCTAATGTCAGTAATCATTACGGTACATTATATTATTATATAATTTGTTCTGCAGCAAAATCTGCAACTTCTCTAACCAAAGCCCGCTTTTTGATTTCATTTTTCACTCAGCTTTTTTAAAATAATGACTTATTTCTGTGCATGATTGCCTATATGGAGAAACCAAATCTAAATAGTCCAATTGTGATAAAATCTAATTTGTGACATCTTTTTAATTTGTATAAAGCCAATTTTCAATTATTTTGTGAAAGGATAGCTAATCTGCATCTTCTCTTAACCTCAGATGTCAATTTCTTTTCCTGTGATTCATCCTAAAAACCAAATATCATTGAGGCTCTTTATATCAAGTTTCTGTGTTAATGATCAGGGAAACCAAACTACTACTACCAAACTCAAGTGGTATCAAATACTCATAAAATCAAACTTTTTAACTTGGATAATGTACATTTTGTTGCAATTTTTCATCTAGATGAAAGGGGGACAAACGAAAAACACGAGTTAAGGAGACACATATCAAATCCAGATGCCTCTGTGCACCAGGGCTCACTGAATAGATTGGTGAGTTTGAAAATGATTTGAATAAAATGCTCTGGCCCTATCACCAGATCTCAGCCCAGTTTCATACCTATGTGCCAACATGTAAGACAATGCTCTCCACCACCCTCTCCGTAAAACCAAATTATATAATATAAACTTTCACCGTCAAATCTATCTAATTATTTCTGTGACTACATGTCCTTTTGTTACGTCTGGCTATGTTTGTTTTTCTTTCTATCTGCTGCACTCAGTTCTCTCTTGCAAAAGAGACCTTGATCTCAGTGAGATTAAACCTGATTAAATAATGGTTGTATGTAAATGTAAAGAGCACTGAAGCTGTTTTGGAGGCTCGTGGCCTGACTCCATACTAAGACATTAGCCCATCACCATCATCCATCTGTACATATTGAATGTTCTTATCTAAACAGTTTGGATACAATAATAATAAACAGTACTTGAATATAAAGTAATGATGTTACTGAAAGGGTGGAGGCTATTCCAAAACAGGATGGGACAGGATACACATTGAAAGTGTGTGTTTTGACTGTCATGTAGAGATACAGGCACAAATCCAGCTGGACACTGTCATGGCCGACCACGTGACAGCAGTGATTTTACTTCACAGCCCTCAACTCATCCTCCTCTCCCTCCTTCTTCTCTTCCCACCGTTCTCCAGAGACCAGAACGATTTTCCACATTCCTCCACCACAGCTGTGTGATGCTGTTTATCTCCGTGCCATATTGGAGGATTTGTATAATATATGTTTCTGTATGTTTGCGTGAGTGTGAGAACAGGCACCTTGAAGGTCATGATAAGGTGTGTGAAATGAAACTCAGCCTCCAGGTCCAGCTGGATGGTCACATTCTCCACACCTGCAGATAAAAGGAAACACACCGGAAATTAACAATTAAAGCTGCATCTCCATCTTGACTTATTTCCATTCATAAAAAAACTTACTATTAAAAGTGTCAACACAGCCCAGACAGACTTTCTCACACTCTCAAAACACACTTTCTTTTAAATATTTACAGACTCTTTCAGCACATGTTCCTCAGCTGGCTTTCCTGCCACACCCACATATGAAATCAATCTAAGCTCTTGTTCTGGATTATGTTGCACCACCAAATACTAAATTCTTCACTAAGTTTATGTGTAAGGACCTAGCTACTAGCTACTATGTACCGTTAAATCTTAAGAAATATCTTGTTAATGTGTTAATTAGCTGCTACGAAACATTTGTTGCGCCGTCCAATCAACTATATACACAAAAAGTCCTTGCAGCATCTAGAGCTAGTAGCATAGCTTCCAAAAATAACAGTTTTATGAAGCCATAAAATATATTAAACTTAACTGCTAACAATTTGTGAATGCAAGTATGACACTGTGGCTTTATTAATCATGCTAGCAGCATTGCTGTGGGTCTGTTGGTTGGTCCAGACAGAAATATTTCAACAACCACTGGGTGGATAGCCGTGAACTTTGATTGCACAAACGCATGCCCTCTTCAGGATGAATTATTGTCAGAAGCCTACACCTGAAGGTCACCTGCCTGGAAAGGGAAATGTACTGCCCAGCTGCTATCACTTTACCTTAACAAGAGGCAACATGCTGCCATCCTCTTGTTCTGTCTTTGACCCCAGCCATGTTGTGTAAGATTTATATATTAGGACTTGATTTATATTATTATACCTGCTAAACATTAGCCTGTCAGCACTGTCATTGTAAAACATGAATGCTGACATTGGCATTTAGCTCAAAGTCCATCCTCACAGAACTGCTAGCATGGCTGTAGACTCGTTTCAGTTTCAAGCTATGGTATTAGTGGAAAATATCCATTTAAGCCAATCTAACCTACTCATTCTAACATAATGTTTTGTCATTGTTTTTCGAAATGTAATTTAAAGTCATATAAATAATTATTAAACAGTATTTCATCAAGTGTCGGGTCTGATATTTCGACCATATCCTATTACCTCTTTTAATGCTACTCTTCAATCTAAATGGGTTGTATTAGCTAGCTAACAGTAGTTCTGTCAGTAAGCTAGCTAGTATGTATGTGCGAGGGCCAGAATGTATTATGGCTTGTATGGCCCCTCATAGTTAGCTACATAGGTTACACCAGCACTACCTGGGTGTAAAGTTTATCAAGAACTAATCTCTACATAAGAACTAGTTTGTGTTCAGTGATATGTAAAACTCCATTCATAAAACTCTTAAAAGTGTACACTTAAGAACAGCTGGTGCAACCGGCTCAGACTCCAAGATGGAACTGGGGTTTACTTCTGCTAGGGAATTAGGAAATCCCAAGCAAAGCCATTGTGTGTCTGAAACTTCCTGCTGTTTCAAAGCCATCTGCACTGCTGGCCGCCTCTCCCTCCATGACTCATACCTCTGACAAGATTCCCACCACTCACAGGGAACATTGTGTGCATGTGGAGAATGAACGTGGGAGCAACAAGGGGAGGATTTATCTGTTAGAATGTATGGGAACTTTCTGTAATGTGATTTCTTTCAGGGCTCAAATTAAGGATGTGATGATGGTGATTGGTTTTTACCCTTCAGCTTCAAAAAAGTTGTACATTTAAACAAGGCGTAACCGAGTGTTGAAAAAGGCAAAACATGTGACCGTAGTCCCTTTAAACATCTCACATCAGGGCCATTTCAGTCCCTGCACCTATACTCCGGAACAATTTGCCTAAAATCATCAGATTAACTGAACCTGTTGAGATATATATATATATATATATATATATACATACATATAAGAGTCATACTGTTATTCCTTTGCATACAATTGTGATTGATACTGTTGAGTAATTAATCCGCCTTGTGTTTATTAAATTATATGCATTACTTATATTAAACAACAGCAAAAAAGAAGAAGAGACACAACAAAGAGAAGTTTTAGTCTTTAAAGAGTTAATGATTACATTTTTATAACATTTCTACAGATGTGGTAAACTGTTCAATGAAATCCAAATAAGTCTTTAGGGAAGTCTTACAGTATATACCCAACTTAATTTAATTTATATTTGGCATGTGAGTTTATGTACTTTTATGTATTTGGATACATACTAGGCTACATGTGTACATACGTATTACATACTTTTCAAGTATATTGGAAGAATTAATTATTTTATTGCCCTACTGGAGTTTTATGCTTATGTTTATACACCTGGCTTCAAGGTGAGTTTACCCTGTATGTTGTTTCCCATTCTCACTGCGGAGCCCTCTTAAACAGCGCTGTCTCATTACACATTTCCTTTTTCCCACTTTAAAGGCCTGTGTGTGGTCAAGTGATGACACACATCTGTTTCTTCTCAGCACACCTGTTATCCCTAGCACACCTGTAAGCCCCGCCCCCTAGACCTGCTGTGATTGGCTGCAGTGCGAGCCTCTGTGATCTCTCTGTCTAGTCATTACTGAGCTCAGTTACCGTGAGAACAGTCTCAGCGAGAGCTCACACGCTGTACTGCTCTTCATTTATTTAAAAACCAGGAGTGAACAAGAATTCTTTCATCTCTTTCGTCTCTTTCATTCAAGAACAAACACACTTTTTATGTTTTTCTCACCGTTCTCCGACTGCCACCAGGTCTTGAGGCGGTTGTGGGCAAAGGTGGTGACCACGTTCTCAATTGTGTGGCTGACATGGTTGTTGTCGTCGTTGTACATCAGTCTGGAGTCGCATACAAAACATTTCTTCTCCTCCTGATGGACAGACAGCACAAAGAGTGTATTAAACCAAATTACAGAAAAAATATTCTGTCTAACCTCTCGGTTTAAACCAGCCATGCTGATGGTTTTATTCACAGAGTTCAGAGTGACTTCTTTGGTTGACAGTAGTATGCAAATTCTTTTTGAAGAATCAGTCTTCACCATCTGGCAGTCTGACGGATAAATCTATGTTTGGCAGAGGAGAATGTAACTGGCCTGATTGCATAGTAGCAATTAAGTTCTTATATCTGCAACCAAGGCTGCAACTAATGACAATTTCTATTATAGATTAATCATCTGGTTTATAAAATAATTAAATATACCCATCAAATTTTCCAAAATAGCTTGTTTTGTCCAAAGAACTGTCCAAAACCCAAATATATATATCATAGAAAACAAAGAAAAGCAACAAATTCTCACATTTGAAAACACAAGAGGGGGAGATATTTGCTTGAAAAACAATTAACTGATTACCAAAATTGCTGCCAACTAGTAAAGTAAGTAAAAGTAATAATGGTTGGATCTGTTTTCCTGGTTTAAATTGGCCCCTTAGTTCCAATTAGGGGAATATTATTGGAACAGCATACAATGATATTTTAGAAAGTCTTCTTCCAGCTTTGTGACAGTTTGTGTTTGACCCTTTTCTGTTTTAACATGCGACATGGTGCGCACAAAGCAAGATCCATAAAGACATGGCAGTTTGGTGGCCTGCACAGAACCCAGGTACCCCATCCAACATATTTGGGAGGAGCTGGACTGTGAGCTTTATCGCCAAACATCAGCGTTGGACCTCGCTATAAAGCAAATCCTCACAGCCAGGTTCCAACAGCTTGTGGAAAGACTTCTCAGAGGAGTGGAGGCTGTTATAACAGCACAATAAAGGGCGTTGTATTAAAATGAGGTGTCCATATACTTTTGGTCACAAAGTAGTTTGTAATACAACCAGAGTGACCCTTGAAGAAAGAAAGAAATTTAAGGATGTGCAAGTATATATCATGTTGGCAGTGTGTGTGTCTGTGCTGCGTCTGTTTAACAATGTATTCACTGCGGGCCAGATGTTTTGGCATGTAAGCTTCAGTCTGGTTCACACACATATACACGCACACACTCCTAAATCTCAGAGCAATGCAGTGTGTGAATTAAAACAACAAGTTTCTCAATTTCACCGGCCCTCTGCCAACTATGTCTGTGTTGAAATGTGAACAGAGTCTGGCTAAGTGGCTCCACTTAGCAGCGTTTGGAAGGAAAATGTGTGCTACTAGAAGCTCACCCCCGCCCTCCTCTTCTGCAGCTCATACTTTAGGATTGTGCTCATCCTCAGGAAACTCAGAAAGGCCCCACAGTGTGTCTGTGATTTCATAAGGACACCATTCACACAGTGAACTTGCTGAAGGGTGGATGATAAAAAGAGACTCGCCCCCAAGCACAGAGGGAGGGATTGTGAGGCAACACAGCACTTTTATTGTGGAGAGGAATGTCTGAACACCCACTTGACAAGACAGCCAGCAGATACTGTACATTCGCATGCTCACACACACAATGTTGATCTGAAGAGTTTTGATGCAGAAATAAAACTGTTGATTGGGAGACAATTATTTTAGTTCCAGCTTCTCAAGTGTGAGGATTTGCTGCTTGTCTTTTCTCTTTATGGACAGAAAACTAAATATCTTCTGGGTTTTGGGCTGTTGATTGGACAAACAAACAATTTGAAGATGTCACTGTGGGCTCTGGGAATTTATGATGAGCAATTTAATCGCTGATTTGAGAAAATAATTAACCACTTACCCAATGATGAGGATAATGATAAATTACATAGTTGATCTCTTGTTTTAATATTAGCATATCTTCAGAAATCAAGTATGGTGCATGAGGTTAAATAAAATGAATCATATTTTTAACTAGTTTCCAATAATCATGTCAATGTATTCTTGATGGACTCTCAAATATAATGAGGGATTCACCAGCTTTCCCTTTTCCTCTGCAATAATTCATAAGCAGTAAGTCACTGTCATAAAAATGCCATGTACAAAGCCAACAGTGATGAAACACACCATATCACTTTAATTAATCTCTCTAAAGAATAGAGAACTGACCCACTTTCTGCTCATTATTCCAACAAAGTCACAAGCAATTCCTCAATAAATCAATACTTCCTACCTCACTTTTTAATCAAAGCCAATGTTTAGCATGATGAATTTGTTCAAAATAAACTTGCAGTAATGATCAGGTTAGTATAAGATACCTTTGTTACACTGTGAGCGCTCTTGGAAACAGGTATTAATTATTATGCAGTCTTATGTTTCTACTCTGACCTATATCGGTAACATAGATCAGAATTCATTTAAAACTTTATTGACCAAGTATGTTGACACATACATACAAGAAATTTGACTCCAGTCCTCAGTATCTCTCTATACTGTACTAACACACAGAGTCAAAGTTACTGAAGGATACAGATACAGACACAATTAAATATATATTATATTGTATACAGGGCACCATTGTCACTGTATCCTGTATGTTCATGGTTGTGGCATATGCAGTGCAAAAATGCTAGAATAAATATTGTTTGGATAATATGTTTTCTAAATGTGTCACAGTCACAAAAGTCACATAAAGTTACTTTTCAATGTCAACTACATAGTTAAAGTTAATACTCAGGTGAAATCACAACTTCTCATCCAATTATGAAAATCAGTTTTACATTATCTTTCTTTGGTCATTACTTTCAAATCGACTCTCATGCAACTGTTTTTAGTCCTTTTATTTGTGCCAATTGGGGTCTTTTTCTGTCTTCTTCTTCCCCCCCCCCGACATATATTTCTCTTCTACCCCAGCCCCTCCTTTTTTGTTAGTGTAAACTTCTGTTCTGAAAAGAACTACATAAATAAAGTTTGCTTGCTTGCACTCTACAGCCACAGAAAAAGCAGAAACCAAAGAACATCCCAAAGAAAGCTTTGCAATATGTGCAGTTTCAAATTAGCACTTGTATAAAACAAAAGTACAAAATTATCCTTTCAAGTTCATGAATCCTACATAGCTCATTCTGCCGATTGCAGATAAACCAATTAAACAGTCATGAAATTTCTTAAAATCACCTGTTTGCACCTCTTGAACAGAGTTCAGATCCGCATTACCTTCACCAGTAAATTATGGTCTTTGAATTGTATGCTTTATCATGACATTTAAATAAAGTTTTGGGATACATAAAACAAAAAAACAAAATACATCTGTATTTTGTTCTACACTTTGCTGGTCACACAGGATGCCCTGGGTTACTTCACTGACCTACAATCTCAGAGAGGATCTTTTATGTTTGGTGCTCCAGGATCCTGGCTGCAGCAGCAGCAGCAGCAGCAGCAGCAGCTGTTTTCTTACCTCCAGATGTCCGACGATGCAGAAGCGCTCCGGCTGCTTCGTGCCGCAGGTAGAGGAGGCGGTGAGTTTGTGCGCCCGGCCGATCAGCAGGTCACCTGTGGCCGGGTAGCAGCTGCCTTCGGTGCAGACATCCGCAAACTCTGGCAGCTGAGCACTGATGGGACACCACAGGGCTGCAGGGAAGAAAACTGCTGTCACTGACATGATGTAAGACGCACAAAGTCCTAAACAAGATTGTTTTTTTCCCACAAAACAATGGAGTATGTTTTCTTTTGTTTTAAATTATACAACCCAGAAGCAGAGCAGACTTGCGGTCAGTTCAATTAAATTAAAATCACATGGAGTCCATCCGCAGAAACAAAGCTTGAGCTTGTGCGCAACAGTTCCTTTCCAGTAGCAGCCTTATTTCTCATCTTTTAAAACACTATAATTCCTGAAAAGAAAACCCTTGGTAATTGCATAAGGGTAAGTGTTGTTGCTGGAGACGTGAGAAGAACATTTTGACAGCTACGCAGAGGATAAAATTCCACCCATCATGCTGCAGATTTCACATAAAAAAAGCTTTAAATTAAAACTTAAACTCACCCAGAGTTGTTAAAATGTGGATTATGAGCGACATTTCTAAGTGCGGAACATTGACAACGCGTCTGAGATTGTGTGGATGCGTCCTGCAGCTGAGAGTGCGCGTGTGTGAGAGTATGAAGTGTAAAATCCGCTAAAATCAGAGGTGCAGGGAGTTTTCTTGTACAAGTGCCCAGACTATGCTGTGTGAAAAGTGCCAATGTAAAGATGACCGGGTGTATGGAGTGTGGATAGTGCCACCGATAACCTACCGAAGAAGACTGTGACATTGACTGACACAATGGGCCCATTTAGCTGTTCTGTTAAGGTTTATGTATACATTATGCATATTGCAGCTTAATTGATCCTATTAGTCTATACATGAACAGCTTTATGTTCTACACAACATGTCCTGTACTTAAATGACAAAACAGATTGTTCGTCAATGCCTCCCAAAATGACACATATGAGCTTTCCATTGGTCACAGTTTGGTTAGGTTTAGGAAAACATCTTGTGTTGGGTTAAAGTAAGTAAGTTAAGTAAGTCACGTGACTTAACTCTGGTGAGGAAAGTCAGTAAGATATTTAACCTACAACGAAACATAACTCAATATTTACTTTGTTTTATACGAGACTCAAACGCCATTGACCTGTGTGTGAAAGTCAATCCACCTCATTAGGTCGAATTTTTTGCTCTTTATAATAAGTAACCCAACTTTTGTTTTGTCTTTTGTTACCATGCAGCCACTAGAGGTCACAGCCACTATAAACATAAACACAGGTGGTAATAATGTGCTTGATGTGATGGTGAATCACTTGGGGAGGTTGGATGACAACGGCCTACAGACGGGAGGTTGATCAGCTGGCTCTCTAGTGCGGTCAGAACAACCTGGAGCTTAACACGCTCAAAACTGTGGAGATGCTCGTGGACTTCAGGAGGAGCCCCACCACTCTGCCCCCCACCACCGTACTCAACAGACCTGTGTCTGCTGTGGAAACCTTCAGGTTTCTGGGTTCCACTATATCCCAGGACCTGAAGTGGGAGCCCAACACTGACACCATCATCAAGAAGGCCCAGCAGAGGATGTACTTCCTGTGCCAGCTCAGGAAGCTCAACCTGCCTCAGGAGCTGCTGATCCACTTTTACACAGCCATCATCCAGTCTGTCCTCTGCACGTCCATCACTGTCTGGTTTGGATCTGCCACCAAATAGGACAGGATCAGACTACAACGGACAGTCAGGCCTGCGGAAAAGATCATCTGTGCCAACCTGCCCTCCATTCAGGACTTATACAGTTCCAGAGTCAGGAAACGGGCTGCTCACTGCACTATTTGTCAATATGTCTATATTGTTTTTGTTCATAGTGTGTATATTTGTGTTGTCTACACTAAAGTCTGTGTCTGACTTTATTTTATTTTTATTATTGTGATTTTGTATTTTACTATGAGTACACAAGCACATTTTGAGCAATGTACAATCCAGAGTAAAATTTTTTGTATGTGTACACATACCTGGCAATAAAGCTGACTCTGATTCTTCAACAAACTTTCAAGCAGTACACCCTGGACAGGTCGCCAAGTGGTAAATAAAAATGTTAAAGAAAAAGTAGCTTTTATCCCTGCAGACCCCGCAATTGTTTTGAACAATGCGTAGTAACAAATGAATTAAATTAAATGTAACACGCCGCACATTATGGTGTTGATTGTATTTTTAGAGGCAATATTAACATGAAAAAATCATTCTAGTTTAAAATCTTTGGTGACTCATATCTTCCTCTGTTATATTAGTGGGCCAGTTATTAATAAATAACATCCTTCACCTCCCCAAACTCAGAGACACCTGCAGGTCACAGCTGTGTTTAAATAGTTATTCTATAGTACAAGTGAGAACTTTTAACAGCCTGCACAGCAGTTTACATTTCATGCATGTCTTGTTGCTTTCACACAGAATGAATGAATGTGTAATTAGGTACAGATGTCTTGTATGCATTGCATTAGCCTCAAAATGGATTATGTATAACCTCTACATAATAAACCTATGACTCTGAGACGTGTTCAACAGCATGGTCATTGTGTACATCCTCACATGCAAAATATTGGTTTCAGTACTCAGGTATTATCATAAAAATAATTAATAACAATATCTTAATTATAATAATTAATAATAATTAAATCTTTAAATTCACAGTAGTAGCATGTTGATTTGTCACAAATTTGTCTCCTCGGCTTTAATTTCTGTATTGAGACATTTGTTTTTACTGTACTTTTATTTTTGTATTTTCTATTTTACACATAGAAAGTACTTGCTATGTATAGTGGACCCAAAAGAAAGGTTAAAAGTACACTAAAGAAACTGTGAATAAACTGTTGATGGTGTTTATATGAGCTCATCAGTTTGCTGTGTTCATGATATTTGACTTTTTTTGTCGGGTTACTGTACGAGTTTTAATTAGAAGTTGCATGAAAAACCATTTGGCGTCTTGACCTAAGCGCTGATAAAGGAACGTGCTTAATGAAGTCACTATTTCTGCTCTCTTACTCTGATTATCATCTGGTTACCAGCACAGTGTGCAGAGATAAATCCGACAGCACTGCCCCCTTGTGGTATTAATGAGGAAGTACATCCACAACTCAAACTCTCTGTGACTCATGTTTTCTATCCTGTTTGTAAAAATGTTCTTTGTCTGTCTCTTCATTTCCATTTCATTCTTCACCTCCTTATTTTACAATAACATAGCCCCACTTTCTGTGTAATGGCCCTGTAATTCTGCTGACTGCTGTATTCAGATAAAATTGCAAACTGCCCAGACAGCATGTGTGAAGCTGTAAATGGATCAAACAAAGAAGACATCTCACTGCAGCTTACCAGTTTTACCTTCCTGAATACTGAACATAAATGTAAAAACTGAATCTAGAGACGTCTGTGTGTAAAAGTGAAACTCCCACACGAAACATCACAGAGGCCATTCAAATGTTTAAAGCCTATAAATCTTTATTTATTTAACATTACATTTTCATTATTAAGTGGGCAACAAGCAAAGTTAAGGTCCATAAAAATGTTGTCAGTTATTAAAATTTTATATATTATTATTATTATTATGTTGGCAACAACTATGTACTTGTCATCAGATTTTAATTCTAAATTTCTAAACTCTGATAGGTGCACAGACAAGTCTATGTCCATGATACCACTGCTAAAAGTAAGAGACTGAGGAAAATTGAAGATGAAAATTCACCTGTGTGGGAGGTTGATATTGAGACCATGTTTTTGTGTCCATAGCTGACTGCTTAAGGATGGGAGGCAAAAAATTACATTAAAGAGTTGATGAAACAGTTAGAGGGGCCCAACAGTATTAACACAGAAGGAAATCCTGAGAAGAGGCTCCTCAAGTTGCTTTTGTTAAGTCTAAAGGTATCAAACTGCTTGCAAGGACGCCAAACTCACGCAAAATAACAGAATACTCACAATTAACCAGAAATTAAAACACTTTCCAGGTATATAGCCTAACACAACCCGGGTTAATGTTTTAATGTGTCTAAAACAAAACCAACAACGACCCTTCCAGGTTTTTAATCTTTTATGCTCAAGACTTTGACTTTAAGAATAATAATAGTTACTGTATTTATACTTTACAACACAAGTCAGATTTCTTCAGAAAAGACATAAATTGAACAGATGTGCAGTGCAATGAAATTATTAAAATAAAAGAAAATGTAGCACTCCAGAATCAGATATCCAGGCATCCTTCAAACCTGTGCTTCTGCTTTGTTTTAAAGCTCCTACAAGATGTTTACATGTTCCAGCTCACAGAGAGCTAGAGATCAAAATCCTGTCTTTTAAATCTTTCTAATTAAAATCACTGAACAAACATCTGAGGTTCATTTTAAACTCAACACACTGTAGCAGTGTTTGATGAAAAACCCTCAGCATGCGTCAAAAAGTCTCTTTTCCTTCCTGCTGGAAAGGCTGAGAACAATCAATTATAATCTGAAAGTCACTTTGCTTTACCCGGTAATTGAGGTGAGTTTAGCAGAGAGGGTACTTGTAGTTAACCGTGTGTGTGTGTGTGTGTGTGTGTGTGTGGTATGAGTCATTTTAAGTTTCAGGATAAAAGGAACAGAGAGGAAAGAGGACAGATAAAAATAAAAAGTACTTATGAGACGTAACGGAGGAACACGTCATTTTGTGTTTTTCATCTTCTGCAGACAGACGGAAACACAAAGTGTTCTTATCAACCAATCACAGACGAGAATCTGCCGATGATGTGCTTCTGCTAAATTACATTCATAAAAATATAATGTTAATTACCCTGGCTGAGAGCTTTTAAATATAAACTCTCCCATCCTGTTATAACTCCTCTAAAACCCTTAATTTCCTCCTAGCTTGCTGTTGATGTTTTGAAAGTTCGCAGTGACCCAGGAGGAATTTTGGAGGAAATTTGTGGATGCTCTTTGGTGCTAAAATGAAATCTAGAAGTGTATGTTAACACATAAATTCAATTCATATTGTTACAGGAAACAGGTTTTCACCTCTATGTCATGCATATCAGTCAATCAGCGGGTCCATCACTTCTGTCCAAACTAAAATATCTAAAAAACTATTGGATGGATTAGCGTGAAATGACGTACAGACATTCAAAGTCCCCAGAGGACGAATAGCTTTGCTGATCCCTCGACTTTTCCCCTAGCACCATCATGAGGTTGACATTTGAGGTTTTGAGTAAAACATCTTAACAACAAATGGATGAACTGCCATGAAAGTCAGTGTCTTCCCATATGCAGCTGGCCTCATCAACAAGGCCCGGGGACCCCCAATGACACTGACTCTCATTTTTATTTATATTGGTTTATGTCTGGCACTTAGTTACCAAAGAAAATTCTTTGTATGTGTGAGAACTACTTGGCAATAAAGCTGTTTCTGATTCGGAAGTTTGTTCAAACATTCACATCCCCCTCAAGATGAACTGTAATAACTTTGGTTATCCTCTGACAGAGCTAAAAGAGAGTGAATATTTATCAGGTCGCCAGTAACATGACTTCAAATGAATGGCAATGTAGCTCCATAACTGTGTAAATAAACTGTTTGCTAACAAGCTCCACATCTCAGTGTTGTGTTCACATCTTGTTTCCAAGGCCACTATAGGCCAACAAAATCAGTTACTGCAGGTTTAACTTGCTTCTGTTACGCCTAAATGTCTCATTCTGGCCAAACTCACCCAAAAGAACACATCACCATCTGTGGTTTTATGTTGTTTGTCAGTAAAGCAGAAATGAAGATGCTCTCCTGTTAGGAATCATAACCACTCTGGTGTTTTTGGAGCTGATACTTTAAGACCAATTTACAGACAATCATGTGGTGTTTGAACCTAATCCTAACACTTTTGTTTAATTATAAATCATCACACCGGTACAGTATGTTTACTTTTTCAACACGCACAATTAAAAGTTGTGAGAAGCCAAACAATCACTTCACTGGAGGTGCCGGCTGTTTCGAACCGAGCTCGATAATGATGTGTTTCCCACTTTAGACTTCCCACCTCTGCTCATGTTTTGAAGAGAAATATGAAGGAGTCAACAACCAGTCTGACTCATTAAAGCCAAGTAGAACTTTATGGTGATCGTTTCTTCATCCTAAAACAATGTGTATAAAACTTTTTCCTAAATACTTAATTCAAAGCAGTTTGGTTTTCCCACATACATCTTGTGACACGTGGAAATGTGGAGACAATGGGATTTACAGCATCTGTGCTGATGTGTACTAAATTATGAAACCGGTTAGAGCTCGTCTTCGGGTCAATAACATGCTCCCATAGCATCTTTTCCAATATATGAAATCACATTTAGCAGGTATTCAATGGCTATCATAGCAGATTCATTTTATTCTCAAATATTTACATTTTACTGGTCACTCCAGTCACCTCCTTCTGCTTCTTCATCTACCATTTCACCTAGATGTTGCTTTTGCTTTTTTTCTTCAGTTTCATCACCTTTTATGTGCACACTGCAGCATAAATGTGCTAATTGTTCATTGCTGGATATCCGTCTCTGTTCTGGGGAAGTCACACATGGGAGTTTGTGTTCTCTCAGGATTTGGGGAGTTGCCTGGTGACGCAACTCTAATTGTTGTCTACCTGTAGCTGGTGTCAGGTGTCTCTGAGATGCGGTCAATTTAGGTTCCTACTGAATCTTGTCACATGGCATGAGTGAGAAAAGAAACTGAAAGAAAGTTTTACATTGTTTTTCAGCAGATTCTGGCTCAAATACAGAGGTAATTTTGCAAAATATCATAAAGGTTGGTGTTCTGGTTTGTTTTATTTGTTTTATTTCTGTCTCTTGCCTCGTGATGTGTCTTCCTGTTAACCACTTTACTTGCATTATTAATTAACCCAAAGAAAAAAAGAAGAAGAAAAGTCAAAATACATGAAGTGGAAAGAGGGACAACTACAATGTCTGTCACAGAAATGTAATCGCCTTCTCTTTGGAAAATCTGCAGAAAAGATGAAATATTTTAGAAATTTGTTCACTTTAGGTTGAAAAAATAAAGTTACAGATCAGAAAAGTAAACATTTCAACTGCCCTTGGTATAAGACACCGTACAAGATGCTCAAAAATGAAAAAATGCAATATTTTACTTCTAAAGTGAAATCAACAGTATTTATGTCTATCCAGGTGCACCTGTAAAACCCTCAACAAAGGCAGCATACACAAGTAACAGGAGAATTAAAGTAGTACAGTATTTTAAGATTTATTTTAATGTAAAAAGTCTCTATTTTGCCAGTTTTCCATTTCAGACACATTGCATTCCTATACCAAATTGCAGGAAATTGTTTACAAAGTACTTTTAAGGAACTACTGTCAGTTTAGACAAACTCCCTCCAGGCAATAAATTATTTCTTGCTTACATGTAAAACCATCACTACTGTCTTTAGCTCAATATCACTTTGGAAACACTTGACACACACTTAAAATTAAAATGTTTCTGTAAATCTCCAGTTCTAACGATATCTGGAAACTAGTTTGCAATACCAAAAGTTATGCAGCAGCTCTGCATGTTACCTTCTGTATTTACCCAGAGACATACGTTTGTGTGTGTTGGTAGAAGTTTATTTTCCTTCAGGTGTGTTTCCAGCTGTACTGCACCTTTAAAAGAAAACAACTAAAACCCCCCAAATGTGTGTCCCTGCTCTCCCCTAATCCTACCCCATTCAGCTTCAACTGTATTTTTGGACAGAAATGCACCAATTAAATAAATTCCAGCCTACTTTGATCTACTAAAACACGAGACACGCACCCCTCAACAGCAGGGGTGAACGCACTTTGCTTCTCTCTCTCCTTCTTGCAGATTCCTCCCTACCTCTCTCTCTCCCCTTCTCCCCGCTCTGCTCCTCCTCTTTCTTCTCTTGGCGTCATTATAATCCTTCCTCCATGCTGAGGTACAGTAGATAGACGCAGAGTAGAGACAGACTGAGGGGAAAAGAAAAAAGGAAAAGTTCTCAGTCTCTCCTCCTCACTCGTTTCTTCGAACCTGTCACTCCTTCGGCTTATGTTATTCTTTGATTCTTCTTTTCTCTCATTCGTTTGTTCTTTCCTTCCTCTTCCTCTGAGCTTTTATAGACTCCGATGAGAGAGATGGGATGTGGAAATTCCTCCCCTAACACCAACAACAACAGCAGCAGCAGCACTGCAGGTGAGAAACACAAAGAATGTTTGTGCATGAAACAGCAGAACATTTTGTTTATCTGAGTTACATAGCAGCAAACAGACATAATAGATAGGCGTATCTAAGTTATTTTAGTAACTTTTTCTGTCACATAATACTGTTAAAGGCCCAGTCAGTCATTTTTTGACCATATTAATTTCATGTAAACACATAAAGACGATTACATTTTGTGTGTGTGATTTTCTTTATATTCTTGTTTTAAGTCTGCACCTGTTTCATGTTTTGTATATGCCACCTTTCAGGTTTCAGTTGTCTACTGTGTTGAACATTGTAAATGGAGACAGTCCTTTCTGAAAATGACTAAAAATAAGAGTCTGTATCTCCCAATAAATATGTTACACGGCCATGTTAATGTCACTTTTCATGTCACTAGCAGACTGCTAGTCACCCTGGTGGAATGTAACAAAGTACATGTACTCAATACCAATTCGACATACTTATACTTTCCATTTTATGCAACTTTATACTTCTACTTCACTACAAATAGGCAGATATTGTAATTTTTCCTGTCCAGTGAAAACCATGTATCTCAAAATCTGGTGATTTAGAGTTTGAATGTTTGTGATAAACTGCAGGATTATGTGTTCCTTTGTGGGTTAAGGAAATTCTCCTTCTTCTTAAGCCAAATAAACTGTTACACCCCACACTCCCCTCCTCTTAGATGGAAAACTCATCATCACAAAGCTGAAAACATTGCTCATGACATGTTGACTTGTTGGAGATGATCAGCTCAACCTTTAAAATCTACAGCAGAAAAATGCAACATGCATTTTAATACAGGAGTAACATTAATCCAAAAACAGTATTTATAATATTGAAACACTAACCAGGAACAATTTATTTTACTTGATACTAGCATATTTTGATGATAATACTTACATACTTTTACTTAAGTTGTGAACGCAGGACTTTTTCTTGTAGTGGAGATTTAGTGGTACTAGTACTTTTACAAAAGGATATGAATACTTCTTCCTCCACTGTTAACCCTGCAGGTGCAGAAAAGGGCGTTCAAAAGGTTTTTGTGACTATTATTACCAACATCAGAACCCTAAAACTTTGGTGCACAGCGAGATAAAATGAGATTATCAACCTACCAGATTGAGTTTAAGACTGGTACATGCAGTATGCTGTATACATAAAAGTGAGACTATGCGACGTTTAAATACAGAAATAACACAATCTTGCTCTTACAATGTAATGTAATGTTAATAGCTAATGGTGACAGATATTGATTTATAACTTACATTACTAAAGCAGTTCACTGACTTTATGACTCTTTTCTATTTGTGCTACTGTCACACTACATGTTGATGTCGATGAGTGTTCACTGTCCTTTAATTGTGACCGCAGCGGCCACTGTTGCTTTAATGCTCCCTATGCGGTTGAATGTGAATGAGTTTTGTGACCTTTCATAATGCACAACCGTCAGGACCAAAACTTTCTCATATTACAAGATATCCTGAAAGTTAATGGTCTTAAAACATCCTCAACTGTGCTACAGGTATTCAAGCACCCCAGGATAAATCTGAAGCATTTTGGTGGCTCCTGATCTTTCATCTAGTTCCACCATCAGGAAAAACTTAACAATCTTAACACAACGAAAACATTAAAATAAAATGGGCAAAATTTCTTGCATACATTCATGTTTCCCAGAGGCTGAACCCTTATAACTTCAGTTATTTACGTAATCTTGAATGTCAAATGATGAATTAACACATGAATAATGATGGATTAACCTGGTAAGACTTGTATTATATATATTAATATAAGTTAAATTGAGAAATAATGGTGAATCAGTAGGAATTTTTTTTACCTTTGCCAGCTATTTATATCATACATCTGACTGTTTGTGACTTCAGGTCCTGCTGAGTCTTCATCAAAGGTGTAAGTTAATTTTACTTACACACACACACACACACACACACACACACACACACACACATTCTGATGTGTTAAAACATGTCAGTGTTGTTTGACCTTTCTCTGATGTTTTAGGTTTACGTAGAGCGACTTCAATGCATACAGTGCGTTTTAATGTGTGTGAATGTTTTCTGACAGTTCAGAAGAGTGTGTGCCAGAAGACGACAAATGGCAGTGAGTCCTTCAGTCCAGATTGACACTGTTCACACTTGTAATATCTGTTTATATACGGTATATGTAACACACATGCATCAAATACTGCACATATACTGTATAGAAGATATGAAACTACTACACTAAAATATATTAATTAGCATGAGTAACATTTGTGCACATGTTTGTGTATATAGGAACTATGGAGGTGTGTATGTGGGCTTTCCTGCAGACCTGAGCAACATCCCTCAAGTACAGATTGGATCCCTCAGAGGTCACACACACACACACACAAAAAGATCAATATGCAATATTGAAGTAAAGGCTTATCATTATAGGGCAGTCAGAACTGTTGGTTTGAAAGTTATTATATCTTTTTTCCACTGTGTGATTTGAAACTCGCTTTGAATGGTGACGTTGATGTTTTCTAAAGCACCACTTCTGATTAAGCATATCAATAATGGAATTATAATTGACGACTCTCTCTCATTTCAGCCTCATATTCAGCAACTGCTGAAAAAACTGAAGTTGAAATAGTTTTCTTTAATTTAGAAACAAGTCTTGCTTTTCCTTCAAAGCCAAAAGAAGACCTGTTGCTGGCACCTTTATGTCGGTGCTGGACTATATACATGCATCTTCACAATGCCTACACATGCTTCTGCTGTGTATTCATGTCTACTATGGAGCTCTGAGATTTAAAAAGCTGTCATTTACCATTTCCCCTTGAATGACAGGGTTTGATGGTCTGCCTTGTCCCACCCGTAGACATAATCACTGGTATATTCTTATTTTAAGGACTTCTTCTTGGACTGCTTCCTTCTTACTTATAGATCTATATCCTACAAAAAAAAAAAAAGCATAGAAAGTTTATGTCTAAGCTTCCAGGACTTATTTCTATTAACTTTCTCCAAAGTCCGTTCTTAAATGGGAAAAAGGGTGTTTAACGCTTCCTCAGCTTGAAATTATTTGCAAAATCACCTGAATCTTCAGGAGCTGAAGAATGGTTTGAAATCTTATAATTCTATCATTATTGTATTAGTTTTCATTTTAAATAGTTTTCTGTTTGTCTTGTGACTAAGCTGTGTTGTTAGTGCTAGTGCCTGTCTTGGTCTGGACACTCCTGAAAAAGAGATTTTTAATCTTACTGAGTCTTTTACTCCTGGTTAATTAAAAAATAACAAATTGGCACATCATGCCACATATTAAATGTTATATTTTCCCCTCTAGAAGTGCAGAGCAGAGTCAAAATACTAATGAAAATCCTTCTCTACTGTTCAGCAAGAGCAAATTTTCATCAGGCCTCATGCAGAACCACTCATAGGAAGAGATTTGTTTTTACATTTTCAACATATTTTTGTACTTACAATACAACAGACCTGTTGCACAAGTTAGTCAGCCTTTCTTCACGGGTCTTCTTATTCACTTATTTAATATCTCGTCTCCCCCTTCGACAGCCTCTAGTGTTAGTCTTGGGCCACTTTGCTTTTGCTGATTTTTTCTGCATCTAACTTCACGTCAGATTATTCCCCCTTTATTTCTGTCACAACGCAGTGCTGCTCCATCTGATCTGTGAAATGCTACAATAAAGCACACATAGCAGAATTTTTTTAAGGTGCTTATATATATATATATATATATATATATATATATATATATATATATATATATATATATATATATATATATATATATATATATATATATATATATATATATATATATATATATATATATATATATATATATATATATATATATATATAGCAGTTGTTTGCTGTAGTAAGCAGTTTCCCCCTGCTTCCAATCTCTGGGCTAAGCTTAGATGCGCTGTGCATGCAGGGCTCAGCAGCAGTTGCTAACATCGGGCCTGAGAAAGAATCCAGGTCATAGATGTGTTATACAAACTGGTAATTGAACTTAGTAGACAACACCCATTCGTTTGAATGAAAATTGTCTGTTGAGTTTATAAGCCAAAAAAGTTTTCTACTTCCGGATTGCACAAGTGTTCCCGCTAATCCTAACATTAGGATGTCCACATTTCTAGGCTCTGGGAAGGTTTTTCCTCAAAAATAAGTAATAGTGGACCTTGTTTGAAGTTTCAGGTGTCCTGTCAACTGTTTTACAGACATCTCTTTTATAATGGGTCTATGGAGAAAATGTTTTTTGATGGCAGGAGATTTTTGGCAAAGCTTAGCGATGGCTTATATGGATGAACTTATCCAGCTCTCTTGATACATCCATGATTGAGGTCTGACCTGAACTCGATATTTAGTAAGATCTGACTCCTCTGATTCAGACCGGAGCAAACAAACAAACCATATGTTTGGTTTGAAAACACCCTCAAAAAAGGCACACAGACATGGAACTAGCACAAATCAGTCCATGTAAATCTGGGTAAAACCAAGACTTTTGCGCATTTGGTGTGAACCAGCATGCTTACACGAGAGTACACTTCTACATATCAAATTCCCAATAACCCCCACACACGCACAGCCTCAATTTCCTGTTGAGTCTCCAGGGTCACAAGAGCATGGGAGAGAGAAAACACTGATGATCACTGCATGTGTTTGAGTTTGTGTATGCAAGTAAGGACTGTATATGTGTTTTATATGTTGTTAGTGTGACAATTACATTTAATTTAATATTCATTGTGTTTGTGTTAATTAATGAAACTGTCCTCCACAGAGAGTGAGAGAGACTCATCCCTCAGGAAGCCGCTGTGGGGGAACGGCCTCTAATTTTTAATGAAGAACCAGGTCTGAGCTTGTCTCTCTGTGTGTTTGTGTGCGACGACCTCCTCCAGTTTTTCTCTGCCTTTTCATTAATGAGTGCTATGATGTCAAGTTAGCAGTTAAAGGACCACACCAGTGTTTGTCAGTGGTTGACTAAGTACACAAATCCTTCATTAAAAGTACATATACCCTTGCAAAATATTACTCTAAGTCTTCAATAACAATTTCTACTTCAGTCAAAGTACAAAAGTATGAGCTTTTAAAAATACCTAAATTCAGTATCAAAAGTAAAAAGTACTCTCATATGGATATGATATCATAGTTGCAAATTAAATTTCTGTCAATCAGCTAATGGTTTTAGCTGTACTTGTATAAACTGTTGGATAGTTTGATAATAAAATGTCACTATTTTTAAAACTCTTCCATATGTTTATGTGTAAAAATCTTACTTAGTAAAGTAGCTAATAACCTAAGCTGTCTGATTAATGTAGTGAAGTAAAAAGTACAATATTTCTCTCTGAGATGTAGTGGAGTTGGAGTAGAAGTAGAAAGAGGCATGAAAAGAAAATACTCAACTAAAGTAGAAATTCCTCTAATTTGTACTTTAGTAGAGTACTTTAGTCCACCACTGGTTTTTGTTTGTTTCAGGCTTCAAAATGACTAATTTCAACAATACTTTAATAATTGTAATTATAGATTGATATGTTTTTTAAGTCAATTAGTTCATTAAGAACAATGTCTTTTTAATGTGCACATTTGTCTACCTCATGTTGTGTTATTAATTTAATCAGTTTTACCCAGTTAAATGCATAAGAATTTTTCTTCTAAGAATAAGAATTTTATTTATAAAGTACAACACTAAATGATTATTCCGCTGTCTTTTCTGCACTGAAAGGTGCTACAGAAGAATGATATGGCAGCAGGGAGTTTGTCGAGTGACGAGAAGAAGAAGAAAAAGTAGAAGAAGAAGAAACCCTTCCGGCGCTCCTCAGGTCCTCACTTTTGTCATCAGCAACCCATTAAATCTGAAATGGGAAACAGCTGCACCCAGTGGAGCCAATCTCCTCTCTCAGCGCTGCTTGTATGGAAGCAGATGTCAACCTAAAACAGGGCTGTTTACTAAGATGAAGGCGTTTTGATCCCTGCGTGAAGAACCGGGAGGCTGCAGGGTTTTAATTTGTCCCTTGACTTCAGAGGACTCCACAGGGTGCATTTCACTTGGCCTTATTGGCTGCATGTTGTGTAACTGCTTAAGGAAGTGTCAGCAGCAGGTGAATCTATATCAGCTTATTAACACAAAAAATGGCAGAGACGCTGTGCTTGTTTGTCGAGGGTGAAAAATGCTAATTTAAGGTTTGAATATCAAGCAGGAGTACATGTAAAAAGGAGGCATCTGGTGATATTGAGTCAAAAAAATCCAAAAACCAACAATGAATTGGCCATGTATTGTTTGTCTATCCTAAACTATTAAAAACACATCAATGGCTGGGTGCACTGGGTGACATATTCTTTCATGACCATGAACACACATTATTTTGACTCAATCCCACAACACCGTCCTGCTGTCCCAAATACCTTTAAGAATGAAAGTATATATTTATGAGTCCTTTTTAAAGATTTGTATCTTTAGCACGAACCAGTGGTCTTGGTGCCTAGTTAAGGAAGTAATTTCATTGTTCGTTGTGATCTTTTAACAGGATTTGTTGACATTAATAAATCTTATAAACGCTCTTAAAAAGGTTATATTTTCACATCTAACTCGAGCATACTCAAGCAAAACAACCACACGATGTATAAAGATTAAGTTTTTTGACCTATGTGAAGGACATTTGCTTTGTTGTGTTAATAAGAACTAGGGTTGAATGATTTTGGGAAATAAACTATTTTTTTTGCAATTGCAGTTGAGATTTAAGATGCAATTACTCTTTATCTTCTGTATTATTTAAAATGGACAAGCAATGAATCAGTGTATAGTATGACCAACACAATATTAGATGCACATGCACTGTTCTTTATTATGGGTCAGGCCTGTGTTACGATGAAATTTAGGTGATGCATGAATTGTTATTATGTGCAATGGTGGAGAAGAAATATCAAATTTAAATATATGAGAAAGATAATTTGAGAGTCAAGTCATTAAATAATATATCATCAGGTCGGCCTCCCTACAGACAACAAGAAAAAGTAAGTTCACCACAGTATATTATAGGCTACAGTAAGCACTCAATACAAACCCCACAGTTCAACCACCAATTAATGAGTCCTTATCTCAGTGTAAATCTCCGCGAGTCCAACTTTCATGAAGAAAAAAAAAAATAATAAACTCCTTTTCTATATCCCAGTAAGCAAACAATAAAAATACTCAGTTTGAGGTTCAATTCAAAAGTTGGCAAACAAAAATACAATCAAGTGACGCCTCTCTAATTGACAAGCTTAGTAATTCTCACTGGAGCCCCCCCCTGCTGCCTCTGTTACAGAGATAGTTACTGAGCTGACTGGTGGCTGTATGTGTACTACTGACTGTAAGTGTCTTTCTGTTGTGCATTTTTCCTGTGCGTCAAAGCGGCGAATGGCCCGAAGATTTCATTCCCCACCACCAAGTTACCCGTGGGTGGCACTAAAGTTTCTGTAGTGTCAGCTTCTGTCAAGCTTAAGGCCACTGTACAACAAGTCAAGGTACAGCGTCACATGTGAAGTTGATGCTTCCTATGCAGACTGCCTTACTCTCGCGTGTCATGTGACCAGTGTAATGTAATGTAACCACAGCCTTTGCGATTAGAAAATCTCTTTTTATCATATCCGATAATATCACAAATGCAATTAATCGTTCAGCCCTAATAAGATCCTTCATTTAAAGAACACTTTCCTTTCACAAAGTGCTTTACAGTATAAAAGTAATACAGGAAGACAGACCTCACCTGTAGTTTGGTTTGTTTGGATGATGAAAACCTGCAGACTCTTGGCCCTCCAGGACACAAATTGGCTCCTGCTGTGAGATGAGGTCAGTGAATCATGTTCCCCTGAGGACACTTACACAGTTAACAAATTACAGCTGCATGTACGTAACTGAAAAGATAGTCTGCTGTCATTTACCTTTTATGATGGTGAAACCACCAATGACGCCAGAATCTCAATTGGTTGGTTTGGAAGTTGTTAAAAACCAACTATACAATGTTGCACACAGGCTGCAGTCTCTGATATCTATATATCTATCTCATATCTCTCTCTCTATATATATATATATATACAGTGAGGAAAATAAGTATTTGAACACCTGTCTATCAGCTAGAATTCTGACTCTCAAAGACCTGTTAGTCTGCCTTCAAAATGTCCACCTCCACTCCATTTATTATCCTAAATTAGATGCACCTGTTTGAGGCTGTTACCTGTCCACCCCATACAATCAGTAAGAATCCAACTACTAACATGGCCAAGACCAAAGAGCTGTCCAAAGACACTAGAGACAAAATTGTCCACCTCCACAAGGCTGGAAAGGGCTACGGGGAAATTGCCAAGCAGCTTGGTGAAAAAAGGTCCACTGTTGGAGCAATCATTAGAAAATGGACGAAGCTAAACATGACTGTCAATCTCCCTCGGACTGGGGCTCCATGCAAGATCTCACCTCGTGGGGTCTCAATGATCCTAAGAAAGGTGAGAAATCAGCCCAGAACTACACGGGAGGAGCTGGTCAATGACCTGAAGAGAGCTGGGACCACCGTTTCCAAGGTTACTGTTGGTAATACACAAGACGTCATGGTTTGAAATCACGCATGGCACGGAAGGTTCCCCTGCTTAAACCAGCACATGTTAATGCCCGTCTTCAGTTTGCCAATGACCATTTGGATGATCCAGAGGAGTCATGGGAGAAAGTCATGTGGTCAGATGAGACCAAAATAGAACTTTTTGGTCATAATTCCACTAACCGTGTTTGGAGGAAGAAGAATGATGAGTACCATCCCAAGAACACCATCCCTACTGTGAAGCATGGGGGTGGTAGCATCATGCTTTGGGGGTGTTTTCTGCACATGGGACAGGGCGACTGCACTGTATTAAGGAGAGGATGACCGGGGCCATGTATTGTGAGATTTTGGGGAACAACCTCCTTCCCTCAGTTAGAGCATTGAAGATGGGTCGAGGCCGGGTCTTCCAACATGACAATGACCCGAAGCACACAGCCAGGATAACCAAGGAGTGGCTCTGTAAGAAGCATATCAAGGTTCTGGCGTGGCCTAGCCAGTCTCCAGACCTAAACCCAATAGAGAATCTTTGGAGGGAGCTCAAACTCCGTGTTTCTCAGCGACAGCCCAGAAACCTGACTGATCTAGAGAAGATCTGTGTGGAGGAGTGGGCCAAAATCCCTCCTGCGGTGTGTGCAAACCTGGTGAAAAACTACAGGAAACGTTTGACCTCTGTAATTGCAAACAAAGGCTACTGTACCAAATATTAACATTGATTTTCTCAGGTGTTCAAATACTTATTTGCAGCTGTATCATACAAATAAATAGTTAAAAAATCATACATTGTGATTTCTAGATATTTTTTTAGATTATGTCTCTCACAGTGGACATGCACCTACGATGACAATTTCAGACCCCTCCATGATTTCTAAGTGGGAGAACTTGCAAAATAGCAGGGTGTTCAAATACTTATTTTCCCTCACTGGATCTATATCTCTATATATCTATCTATCTCTATAATATTTGTGAAAAGATAAAGATCTGTTTTTTTTTAAAAAAGAGATCTGAATGTGTGTTTGTGGATTCTGCATGAGAACGTGATCTGGGTTTCTGAAGGCTCAGGAACATTATTCATGACCATCATTTGAAATGTACAGAATGTTATCCAAAATAAGTCTGCCAGTTTCTTCTGAGTATTCGAAGAGGTTTTCATTAGTATAGAAATAATATGCTCTTTAGTTGAAATTAAATACATTTAATTTGGTTTTACAAAACTGCATCTTCTTTACATCATTTGATCCACTTCACAAGGAAGCGTTTAGCAGAACAAACCACAAACTGTCAACAAAAAGGGAAAGTCAGCAGTGAGGTACACAGGTGCATAAATGCATGTAGGGCACAGGTGAAGGTAAAGTGTAGTGGAATGAAGTGTGTGTATTAGTTGCTTTACATACTGAGGTTTACGTGGTTTGGAGGTTTGACTGAAGCTTGAGAAGAACGCCGTCACTTGTAGGCATGTGAGGTATTATAGAAGCTCATTATGTGTTTATGACACAAACCATAAATCTTGTAGCATATAGGTGAGGTAACCATGTATTCATACTGTGAGCATACTGTCAGTCTAAGTTTAAGTCAATTTAGCTTTCCAGCCAAAGAAATTTAATTTATATACATTAAAATGCAGATTAGAGACTAGCTGGTGAAGAAAGTGGAACATTTAGCAGCTAAAAGAGCCTGACATTTTTTCTGGAGTTAATGGAGACCAAAGTAAGATCCAAAAGGAGAGTGAACATTGGACTGAAATCTACTAAGTGGCAGGAAACATGACTCCAAATAAACGGTTACAAATTTGCAGTGTACAGAAGTAGTGAACAGTTATGATAGGCCTATTGGCTGCATAAATTCAACCTAAATCTCTAAGAACAGAGACCCATCAATTATAATGCTCACAGTCTGAATGCATAGAGGGTTTATTCATACTCTTTTGCATCTTGTCCACAGCCTAGGAGCTTTACTGTGGACAAACAGGAATGTTAAAGTCAGTTTTCGTGAGCCACATTCCCTTTTTCAGTCCCGCTTTCTGATGGCCACTTCCTCTCCTGACGCCAGCTTCCTGTACAACTGCGACAGCTCATCCGGTTGTGGCATTTTTGACTCTGGTGTGCAGGGAATATCAAAGTCCGATGACACCTGAGACTCTGAGGTCTCCTCCAGCTCTGATTGGACGTTCTGTACGTTGCTCTCCTTCTTCTGAGACGCAGCATTGGTCCCCAAGTCTCCTTGTTCCCGCCCCCGCTGCTCTGGTTGCAGAATCAAGGTGTCGGGTAAATAGGAGTCCTGGTTCTGTGAGGAATGATTTGACAGAGAGGCGGACAGGGTCAGACTGAAGTCTCCATCGTTGTCGGGGGTTTCTTCTTCATCGCTGAACAGTTCTGGGGTCTGTGAACCAGTCATTTTGGAGGGGGAGGGGCTCGGACAAGAGCAGCAGGATTGTAATTGGCTGTTGAGGCTGTTCTGGCTGTCAGTCAGCGTCTCTGTGGTGAAGAAGTCCTCCCATTTCGGAGGATTAGAGGAAGCAGGTCCTTCTAGCTCAGTATTCTTTTTCTCTGTATCCTCAGTGTCCTTTATTGGCCTGATCACATCCTTCATCCGTTTTGTATCCCCCCCGCCCTCGTTCTCCTCCTCCTGCTGCTGATCCTCCTCCTCATTATCTTCCTCTTCATCATTGGATTCAGTGCAGTCCACATAGTTGCGTGCAACAGGCTGCGTGTCGGTGACCGTCACAGGAAAAGACTCCTCCGTGGACACAGGGGGCGCTGTTTTCTGAGGACTCTGAGCTTTCACTAAGAGACACAGATGAAAAAGAAAATCAATGGTTCACTAAATAATAATCAGTCCATATTAGGAACCTAAAAAAGAAGAGACATAGGAAGTTAAAATATTTCTGCACCATTTTTTATTTCTTGGTTCAGCCCCATCTTCTTCCTCACTGGTGCCAGGTCGAGCCCATCAAACAGCTCGTCATCGCTGTCTGGATCTGAGCAGAGAAAAACAAACAGTTAATACTTTACTAACACATGCTGACAAGTGATAAAGTGGTTTGTTAATTTACAAAGCTAATATTGATCATTGATCAAGAGTCAAAAAGTCAAATATCTACCCCTAAAATGTCATCTTCCATACATCTGAATTAATTATTTTAAAATATTAAATATATTCCTAATCTGAAATGATTTTTATCTGACATTTTATCATTCCAATATGTCTTTTAAGTTGGATGTATGTGGCTTAAAAAATACCAAGTTTAATACTCTACGCAAAAGACAACAATTAGAATTCAGTAAATCTAAAAAGTAGTTTATAAAATAATCAATGTATTGCATGTGCAAACCAGTTGCCAGAAATACTAATTAAAGCAACAATAAGTTGCTCTTTCTAATTAGACGTATGGCTCATACAACACGGAGTAGCAGGCAAAGTTTGTTCTACACAAAGATAAACAGAAAGACCAGAACGGACCAAAACTGCGAAGTGCAAAAACATTAGCAGCTACGTTAACTTAGCTCTTTAAAGGACTATCAGATTGTGGAGCGTCCCTAACCTCATCTCAAATGCTCTTAACTTTCTTTATGGTGCTTCTTGTAAGTGACCTTTGCTGGGGGCCTTTGAGACAATACTTAAATTAATTTATACATTTTTATTTATTAATCTATCTTTCAAATGGTGGCACTCTCAAAACTGCAGGGTACAGACCGACCCCTGCCTTTGCATATGATCTAAAACATTTGTAAAGAAGAAACTATATATGTACGGAGAGTAGAACCTTCAGCTTCACATTTTATTGACCTGTAAACAAGCATCACAGTGACAGTATTACAGATGTGTTTTAGCGCAGTGCACCTGTTATGGTTATTGTATCTATGTGTGTGTGTGTGTGTGTGTGTGTGTGTGTGTGTGTGTCTCACCATATTTAGGTCGCTCAACCATGGTGCGTTTGAGGACTCCCAAAGGTTTGTATATGGGCGCTGCATTTTCAGAATGGTTCCTGCACATCAGCTTCAACCTGCTCAAACACACAATGTTATTAAATTATTAGCAATCATCATAGTTATCAATACACCAACTTTGTGCACAAACCGATCACATTTATTAAATTTCTGTGGTATCACTCATTAAATGTTATCTCACATCAAAAGATTTTTAGGTTTTATCCCCCCCCCCCATGTGGAGAACTTTAAAAATGATCAAGTCAGTCATCACTTGACTGTAACAGAAGACAAAGAAAAGTCCCTCCCAATTAAGAACCAGGGAATTTTTGGTGTGTTTTCTTGAAGAATTATTATTCGATTAACCAAATAGTTGCAGATTAATTTTAATAATTTAAGATGGAGACTTAAATGATAAAATAAAAAACTTCACTCACATCTGTGTAACCTCTGTCAGTGTCTGACCAATAGGGATAACACTGGGGTAGATGTTGACTGGCTGAAGGTAGGAGAGAAAGTCTTTAATCTGAAATTATAGAGGAACACAGTCAACGTGTGTGTGTTAGTGGATAAACAAACAAATATATATATAACAAATCTACTTGTTCACAGATGCTTCAACAGCATTTAACTTTTTTTAGTATATAAATAAGACACACACAGACACACACACACACACACACACACACACACACACACACACACACGTACGTTTAATAATTTAAATAACAAATTGAAGTACCTCTGAGTAGGAGGAGTGGAAACTGAAGCAGGCTCTGTAAGAACTGGCTCCTGTTCTGGAAACACAACAAAAAACAAATATTTACACTCATAAACCAAACTTAATGTTATTTATAATGAATTATTCTGTCAGTGTCTTTTCAGAACAAGCATATTATACAACTGAGTTTTAAATGTAATCAGGCCTTGAGAGGAGTTAGTATTTCCATAAACTCTCAGACATTTGAACATGTTCTTACTTTATTATAACGTTGGTTTTCTTCGTCCTCTCTCCAAACCACATGGTGGACGGTTTGATGCTGATGATACGAAGTGGAGTCCCATCAGGGGCTGTACAGCCACACGGCAGCCTGCTGCCTTGGAAAAACTCCTCGTCCTACACAAATCAGTGAATCAAGTGACAAAAGAACAATGAAACAAAAGTAAACATTTACAATCAGCTTTCTGTTTTAACTTATTTGTTTGTTTTTTTACTCACTATGATTTTATTGCACTTACAGTAATGAGCACAGTTGAGAGAGCAGAAGAGAGACAGAGAGGTAAGTCTGCAAGCGCCATCACACATTAATCTCACTGCCTCGTTTCTTCATATCCGATATAAGGACGAACGGACCTTAAAAATACTTCCGTTTCTTACTCATTTATAACTTGTTCCAATTCAGAACCAGTGCTTCAGGCAGTTTCCTCGTTATAAAACCCTCGTCTACGAGGTAATACAGCTTCAGAATGACAGATGATTTTATAGATGACATCTGTAAACCACATTTCCCTGTTCCCACTTATCTGAATAACCAGAGACAAACCTTGGATTTGTATGGGTGTGTGTGTGTGTGTGTGTGTGTGTGTGACCTTAGGGTGTCGACAGGCATGGATCTGCGTCCTGCGGTCAGTCGTCACGTAGCTCAGGATCTCTGGCATCTTCTTGAACATCGCCAGATTCTTAACATGGATCTGAGTATAATCAAAAAACAGACGATGTTTACATGTACTGTATGAATTTGTGCATGAAACGACATACAGAATACGTGTATAGAAATGTGTGCGCGTTTGTGTTACCTGTGTGTTGAACTCCTCTCCCAGGTTGGTAAACAGGTATTCGTATCCATACGCAGCTTTACAGTTCAGCCATGCAACATGATATGAACTCTGGCTGATCCAGTTTCCAATGAGCTCTGAGATCCCTTTCAGACAGACCTCCTGCACACACAGAAAAATCTTCTATGATAAACACTTTTATTTTACAAAAGGTATTCATTTCACAATTGTAGTAGACTAAGCAAACCACAAAACATTCACATTTTAGAAGCTGCAACCAGAGAATTTAGGCATATTTTTTTCTTCTCGATTAACAAAAATTTCTGCCATATAATTTTCTGTCAATCGACTAATCGATTCAACCTCTAAACTACCGTTTAATTGCATAATAAAAAATAAAAGCCATAGTCATTCTGGCCAACACTTTAGACAAAAACTACAATCTGGTGAAGTGATATGTCTTCCAACTACAGTGGACTGAAAAGTGTCAGTATCTGAATTCAATCAAATTTTGTTCAGTTGACTCATAGCATGTGAAATGAAACTTTACCCACAAATGACTGAGGCTAGACTCGAACTAAACGTTGCTCAATCCAGCTAGCAGCTACATGTTATGTTCAGCTAAAAACACTACAGCTGTAAACCATCTGCTAATATATTTCAAAACATTAAAATGTTCCTTACTATTCCTGTTTGAACTTCACTGCTAAAGACTCCAATATATTCCTCCCCTGCAATTGAATCATGTTAACATCACAAAAACTTACCCGAGTAGGAATCTGGTAGAATCGTGGATCATAGAAAGTGGAGTCCAGATAAATAGTTTGAATATCCTTCACTCTGGATGTGAAAGAAAGAGAAAAAAACCCCAGCATCAACAGTGATGAAGCAAATCAAAAAACAAACAAGATGACGTACATCACATCACTCAGATTACATACAGACACAAGAAGGTGAAAGCGAAAGCTAACAGAACCGTTTGCTCTGGGGAAAGTCTGACACAACAGGTGAGTTTGACTTCATGCGGCGCTGCGCAGAGCTGACTTAACGCGATTCATGCTGGACTTAAAATAAGGCATGCTGGTTAGAAATTGTGTCAGACTTTCGTTGGCGCTGCAAAACGTCACCATGTCACATGACATTAAAACCTTGACATGACGGCGCAGGTTTTATTTCCGACCCCTGGAGCTCACGTTAGACTATCAAGTCGGCGAAAGTCGGCCACCGTCATCTCGAACGCACCTACTTTCTAACCAGCATGCCTTATTTTAAGTCCAGCATGGCCTCAGGGGGCAGTAATGAGCCCATTGCAGTTTGACACACCAGAACGAGGTGAAAAATACTTATTTGAACAAGTCACACAAATGTGAGTTGTATGTTTTCATCAGAAATGTTTGCAAGACGTAATGGATGAAGGCTAACTGGTTGTTTTGGCAAATGTATGTCTGGTTAACTTGCCCTTCTCCAATAAGGAGCTGCAACAACCTGCTTCTGAGCCCAGATTATTTAGGAAGATTTAAGTAGGATTATGTTATAACGAGTAATTTTGTATCTTATGATTGGACTGTTTACTGTTATTGCTTTTATATCTTATTTAAGTTTGATCTTAATCTTTTTCTCTGCCCTGCTGGATCAAAACTATAACTTAAACCTAATTATCTCTGATTTTTCTGAATAAATGATCAAACTCCTAAACTTTACTGTCTTTACTTATTTTCCAGAACTTCGAAAGAAGAAGACGTTCATTAGGACCAACCTGCTTCCAGAGTGCAGATGTTCCATTCTCGAGACGTCTCCAGCAGCAAACCTAAAGTCTCCTGTATACAACACGTTCCCTTGGGATCCCTCGAACAGGAACCTACAGACAGACGCACACCATTTCAGACTTTTCATGTTAGGATGTCTTAACAATTACCTTTTCAAAAAACATAAATAAATAAAGTAAAGCTTTGTCACATGACATATCATATTTGAAATTATTAGAGGTTATTTTTCTTGCATGCTGTGTTGTGGCAGCTGGCAACATACGTAAACAAAGACAGAGAAAAATCGGGAAGAGGTTAAGAATGGTTTGACTTGCATAACAGAGCCGGGACAGTGGCCTGCAGGAAGCAATGTGACCACAAGCTCTTCTTTCTGGCAACAAGATGGTTAAAACACAAGTTAGAAGGACAAAAGCCAAATCTACATGTATTAAACCCTGTGAAAATTAGGAAATGCTCAGTTTTTACCTCTCCAGTTGCCTCATTAACCAGAGAAATCTGAGTCGGACTCTCCAGCTCTAAAGCAACCTAGAACAGATCATTCACCAGGGGAGAAAGAAAAATATTTCCATGGAAAAAGAGACAGTACTTTCAATTCCACTACTCACAGCATCGCTGCCCTCACAATACCAGAAGGCAAAGTAAGTTGAAGAAAAAACAAAACAAAAAACCCCCTCCTATTTAAAAGAATTGTGCAAGTTAGCAGATATAACTTAATTGACTTTGATTATTTACAGTTACTCAGCAGTAGATAACACTCCTAATTATCCCACCCTCTACACCGCAAACAAAGACATTTGCTGTAATAGAGCAGACTTACGACATATTCCTCCCAGAAAGCGTACTTGGGATTGCTTAGCAGAAGTTCTTTGGTCACGAAGGAGCAGTAAAGCCTGATTGTACGACTGAAACCAGAAGAGAATATCAGGCCGGCAGAGACACAAACAGACAGAAGTAGCTTAGTAAACTGTACAAGTGCCATTACAGCTGGACTGAGGCACGAGTGAACTAAGTGGCTGCTTCAGGCCAAATTACAAGTGTTGCATCCTCTGTTCATATGAGTTTTAATGTGATGGTAACAGTCTGTGGTTCCTTAAAATTGTGTACAGCTGTACTGAAATCATTCAGCAATTCAGGATACATGTAGTTCAACCAGTTTCAAATCCATCTCACTGTACAGAGGGAAGGAATACGACTGCTTGAGCTGGATGGAAAAATACTGTTTAATCAAAAATCGTAGTATTTATTGCTAAATATGTTTCTCAAACTGTTTACTTCTATTTAATATTGATCAATACATTGAATTATTTTGTGAAAATTTGCCAAAAACAAAACAATGATTATATGAAAGGTGCAACTTGGGACTAAGTGTTCAAAAGGTTACTAGTGATGTTATTTTCCAGCACAAACGTCAAACCACTAGTGTCCTCCTTCAGTATCAGTGGCGTTAAAAAACAGAAGCCAGTGCCTAAAAGGTAAATTACTGTTCCCTCTTAAAAATTAAGTAAAACGTTGCTCAATAGACCAAACTGTCTTCACCTCAACTTCAGTTTTCTCTTCAGTATCGGTCCCTTCAGTCCTTTCATGTGATCTGTGATGATAAGACAGATGAGCAGCAGGGAAACTTATCGTAATCTGTTGTTACAAGGCTCTGTGAACGGTAAGTGTTTTAAACTTTACTTAATAATGCTATTTAAGGCTGACATACACAGGCTGATGAGGCGAGCTAACTAACCTTTGTGACAGTGGGAGAGGAAATATGCCCGGGCATGTAGGTTCTCCCTGTCGAACCGGTCCAGAGAAATTGTGGGATACTCCTTCATTCGACCTGCAAATGAACTCATCTTTACGCCGAACCTGTTGGCGGTGTTGTCTAAAATTGATTAAATGTCTGACCGTTGTTTGTACCGGAGAGAGATCATTTTGTTATCATCGCAGACGTTTGTTTGTCCCGCCCACCAATTTCACTTCTTGCTTCTTCTTCTTCGTCGTTTCTTTTTCGGCGGTTGAGGTGAATTTTGTGTGTATTTCCGCCATCTACTGTGAATCTATATATTTATTTTTCATTAACGAACCCCTGGTTAATACCAATATTGTGACAGTGGTTATTATCTTGTGTTCCAGGAATATGCCTCAGGAATAAAAAACAGAAAAATAAAATAAAATAAACTTTTATTCAAGGAGGTCAATCGAGGTAAAAAACAAACAAACAAACAAACAAACAAACAACTACTGTCCTATGTACAGTAAAGTATTATCAACATATTTATGTTTTAAACACTAATATTTAGAGTGAAATGTAGTTTTTATACACCAAAAACCAACTGCCCACCTATGTGGACGTCATGCAACAGTAGAGTCAGATTGTGAGCTGCTAGTTTATCTATTCTGTTTTTAAAAAAAAGATGATATATGAATTTTTTTATATTATAATGAAGCAGACATTTAACAAATATATTTACATAAATAACAATGCAAAAGTACATATTACAGCATTAAATGAGAGACAAATTTGCATTTTGCTTCCCAAACAAACATGTGTTGAAGAAAGATCTGTTACATTTTACATTGTATATTATCACGGATAAAATATATGCTACTAATTTTCCGCATACATGTGATTACAGTTATAAATACCACTATGAGTGTTTTCCTGTCTTTGTTCTTAAAATATGTGTTTTATTGTTAGTTTTCAATGATTGAGCTTTAAAAAAAAACATAATATTACATATATTCAGGTGTGGCAGGACAGTTAAATAATTAAAAAAATAAAACAGAATTTTGTTAAAAGAATGGATTTCAATTTAAGCACAATTCTGTGTTATAAAAAGAATATTTTCTAATAATTCATGTATTAAAGGGTGAATAACACCCGCAACGGTCCGCCGTGTCCTTTGGCGCCATCTTCTGGTAGCTTCTGGCTTCTGTCCTCCAACACAGAAGAAGAAAGTTCACGGTACTAGGCAACCAAAGCAAACTGTCACTTGTTAACTGGCGTCTGGAAAACAACACGTTTGAACAACAAATGTAAGTAAAATAAACTGTTGTCAGTCCCCTATTTTTGTGGGAAATGTGTGGAAATTTGAGTATATGAGACTGTAAGCTTTTCTGAATTTGCGTTATATAAAAGCAGAGGTTAGCTAACGTTACTTGTCGTCTTTGTAGCCCGACACGCACGAAACTCCATTCAAGATTATAGTATTTTAAAGTATCACTGCTTATAGATAAATATACTTACATAACATACTTTTATTTTGACTTTCTACAATTTTTAGTGTCAATCCTTTTGTTCTGCATACATTGTAATGCATCAAGCAGCGCTTAATTTTTGTAAAATGTCACTTTTAATGACTGGCAGGCCTGTTAGTGACAGTCTCTCTTATACATTATTCCAACAAGTCTTTGCTGATTCTTAAGAAAATCAAGATTGGAGCAGAATATTTACCCCTGCTACAGAGTGTTCTGGCAAAAAAGCAAATTAGTTAAGCATCTTCTGAACATATAGGCCTATTTTAAGCATTATATGAAGTTATGAATGTAACTCAAAGGTTATTTACAGCTTGTGTTTTGGAAATGTAATTGATGACCCAATGTCCTTTTTATTGACATTGTCTTGTCAGTCATCAGAGACCCCACATCGTTCAGCATTGCAAACATGTCCTGTACTACTAATAACAACTCCAAGCCAAAGTCCATTAGCAGAGCCAAAGGATGGACGGCAGAGGTGGAAAACCTATTCAGATTCCAGCAGGCGGGCTACAGAGACGAACTGGAGTACGTTCAAGTCAAACAAGGGGCTTTGGTAAATATTCTAATCTGACTGTAAAGTTGTAACATTGATTCAGAAAGAGGATCTCTGTTCACCCACTTTTCTTTATCAAGCACAGTTCTTGTAGAGAACTTTGGGTAATGGCAGACTTGCACTAGAAAACAGACAGTTTTAGAAAATCTTAAATTTTGTTGAACTCAGAATATATAATTAGAATAATTGCATTGGTACGTACAGTGTTTTAAGAAGGTAAAATTATGTCAAACATACATGTACGTCTGAGAATAAAACTGAATGCGTACAGAGGATTTGAATTTACCACTCAGCAGTATTACACATGAATTCTGTCATTTAAAGACAATGTGTTTGACAGGCTGGTACTTGCATAAGCCTCCTCTAGCGAAGTGATCTGTTTTATTGATGGATAACAGACAAGCTGTGTCTATTGTACCTAAAAATAGTCAGTTATAAATATCTTCCCTGTCTCTTTTTCTGTTTCCGTCTCAGATCGACAAATGGCCAGAGACCGGCTTTGTGAAGAAGCTGCAACGTCGAGACGACACATTTTATTACTACAACAAGAAAAGGGAATGTGAGGACCGCGATGTCCACAAAGTCAAAGTCTATGCATATTAAGGTGTTCTGGACTTTATCCATGTATCATTATGATACAACGGTAGCCCGTCAACACACAGTATGGGCACAAACACACCCATTTTGAAGAAGAAATAAAGGAAAACTGCATTTGAGAACCTGACTGAAGTTTGTTTGTCAAAAATAGCAAGGTTGCCTGTTTAATTTATCATCTCTAAACTTTCAAAAGCAATTTTTAATACACTAAAAAGCTCAGAATTTAAGGCTGTCTGCTACAGTTAGATGTGTGCATGACATGAATAAAAAATAGAAGAGAATATGAGGTAAATCTTGGACTTTTTGAGCCACAGTGAAATAATTTTACAACAGATAGAGATAACAGCAATGTAGAGAATATGTTAAAAATGGGCGAAAAATAAAATTAACTGTTGTTTTAATCTGCTTTTTTTTTGTCATTTATGCTTTTTTTTCTTTTAATTTTTTTGAGCTAGGAAAGTTAAAAGAAGACTGATATGGAACTGCGGGGCCTTTCGTTGTGTTTAACGGTCATTAAGAAGAGGATGGCAGCATTTTTGATCCATCACATTCAAATACGCCATGGAGCCATGTCAAGTGTTGTGTAGTGTTTTAGCAGCACTGAAAAACAAGTTTTACTTAGATACATTTCATGAGTTAAGTAATACTTTTTAGTTTTAATTACATCATTGCAATAACCAAATGTTTTGCTTTTTTACTATATTAAGCTGGAGATTTCATGTTCACTCACTGTAATGTGCATGTCCTGTTTCAAATGTGACCGAAGGTTTGTTTTGTTCTGATTAAACTGGGCCTCTCATACTCTCCTCATGTGATGGTAACATGAGGGGTGAGATTATGCATGGACCCCACTGCCTCTCAGATCTGAGGTTTTACCCCAGATCAAGGACATATCGCTTTACAGCTGCCTGGGGAAGGGAGATTTATGCTTTATTAACTTGTAATTAGAAAGAAAGTTGACCCTGTGGTGCTGTACAGTGAAATTCACACTGCAGTTTACAGTGACTGCACTAGGACTGCAAGGCAGGTGAGTAATGCAACATTACATTATATTTAGGCCTATTTTTATATGTATAATTACATTTGGTGCCTTTCTCTTTTAGTGTAGGCCAGCATAGGTATATATTAGAAAAAAATGCTGTTGGTTATTAAATCATAGTGTGGGTTACAGTCTACAGTTCTTTCTCAAATAATGTACAGCTAGAGATACACCATTCAGAATTGTGACGATTTCATGAACTCTTTTCGTCACACACGTAATCTGAGCCTTTATGTCCCCACCACAGTGACGCCCTTACAATCGATGGGTTACAAAGTTCACGTTAGTTTCTTTGGTGCGCTATTCTACAGCCAGAGGTCATGACGCCAAACTTCATTCAACATTTTGACGATTTAAGGTGGGTCTTTCACGTGTATCAAGACACTGCATTTACAAGATACAAGCTTGATTATTTGACATTATACAACGCAATGTTATTTGACTTTTCGCACACTGCAACTCATGAAATGTTCGAATTGTGCGAGTCCTTGATTGGGTATGGGCAAGGTGTAAAATTAACTTTTTTTGTGAATGTACAAATGTACATGTTTACCAGGCACTCAGTAGATAAATTTTTTTTTTTGGCTGGTGAAATCTACCAGCCACTTGTATATTTTACAAGAATTTTGCTGGTGCCTGTGCTAATTTTATACCCTGGGTATGGGTTTATATAAACCACCAAACTTCCTTAATCAAATGAATCGAAACGTTTAAAGACTAAACTAAACAAACAAAATGGCAGTTTAAATTTGTTTCATATAGTAATGCATGGTGACTGTTAGTTACATTCTTCTCGGGTCAAATGCAATGTAGTATTTCCTGGATAAATGTTTCATTAAAAATTGATACGCAGTACTTCTGCCTTTTCGCGTCCACTGTTAAATAACCTGATTTTTGAATGAAGTTCGGCGCGCCGCGTGTGCGTCAGTGAACCTGCTTATCAAGCCGTACCATGGTCGGCTCAACAGTAATTGACCTCGCCTTTAACAGCTGCCGGGCTTATTCCCTTTAATTCACACTCGACCCTCCTGCTCTGCTTTTGTGAAGTTGTGTTTCCAGCGGAGGCGACACGTCGGATGTAAGGCAAGTGTGCGAGTAAACCGGGGGCTTCAAATAGTAAAATCAGTGGCTTATCAGCATGTTCGTTAGATCTTGTAAATGTATTGATTCGTCTTCACAGTTCAGGAGCTGTCTGTGTGGTTAGCTTAGCTTCGTTAGCAAGACAACCTGCTGTACAGTTGGCCTTGTTAAAGCTCGGGTTAGCTAACAGTAGGAAAGGTAGCTTTAGTGTTATCGTTCATAATAGTCATTTTATTCCTGCTTGGAAGTATTGATAACAAAATATAAGGTGTGTTTTCAGCTTATTCTCCACTTAACGGTAACATATGGTTGCTCAGGTAGAGTTTAAGCCTCTGGCAATAAGTTACACGGCTAACAAGCTGTTTGGGTAAAGTTAAAGGTATTTGCTTAGCTATCGCCTAGCAAGATAGTTGTTAAGCTATTAACTAATCAAGATAATTGATAAGATTGGAGAGAGATGTCACGTCTTGTCAGGTGGTGCAAAAATGTGGTGGTCTCATTTGGCTCTTAACTAAAGTTACTCCTCTAAAACATGCTGGTAATGTTTTGATATCCTCTTTTAGAGTAAAGGATCTCTGAAGCATAATGTTCATTTACTGAGAAGTGTTTTGGGACTTTTCTCTTTTCTCTTCACTGCACACAGGTGGGATTAAACCACTTCTGTATGTTGACATTTACTGAAAAAGCGGTTGAATCACATGCTAATCCAGGTGTGAGCAGGTCCTTAAAATGTTTTAAAACTTCTAAATAAATACAATCTCTACAAATGTCCAGCCGCAAAAGTCATTAAATTATCTAAAATTTTAGTTTGATTAAACCTTATTCTCAACATAAACTTTTCATCTGATTTAGTTTATTTATTTATTTGTTAGAATTAGTTGATCGAGTTGAAACAATTAGTTGATTAATCAGTTTGGTCTGTGACAGAAAATGAATAAGCAACTACTCTGATGATTTGTTTTACATCAAAATGCCAACAAATCACTGATTTGAGCATTTACTGATAATACTTGATGTGTGCTTACTCGATGCACCAGCTTAGTTTAATATGATAGTAAATTCAATTTATTTGAGTTTTGGACTGCTGGTGAGATGTTAGTTGGTTTTGTTAGCCTTCTATAATATTTAAATGCATATCCTTGGGTTTTGGACTGTTTGACATTTTTAAATGTCAAGAAAATAATCACCACATTAATCAATAAGTGTTTGTTGCAGCCATAGTCTATATATTATAGATTTGGGTGGTGTTATAATCACATAAGACCAACATAAACTTTACCTATATGGCAAAGTTAATATACCTAACTATGTGTTGCAGTTAATACCTTTGTATTTATCTGCAACACGTAACTATAATTACTGAATTAGTAGTTTTATTTCCTTGATTTGTTCTTGTTTATATTAATTCTCATGGTTTTATCCCGGTATAATTAAACTGTGGGTTGTACTGTCGGCTCACACTTGAATATTATATTATGAATGTTTTTCTTCTTAGCTCAGTTAAGTCGTGGGGTCTCTTTTAAGAAGCCTAGAGAATCACAAGGCTGTGAAGGAATGTAGCTTTTGGCCAGTTTTATGCCAGCTCATAATAAAGCTCTTGTTTTCCACTCTGTGTTTTCTGCTGAGAAAGCTGTGCGAGGGTCTTATTTTCCTCTCCTGCTGCCTTCTGACACAGAAAGGAAGCAGCAACCGCAGCTGACGTCTTTGTGCAAACGGTTGTTGAACTTTGCGTGAAGACGTGGTGTGAAACTGCAGTGTTAGAGAAGTATATCTGAACCTTTCTGGAAGCTCCTGTGAAGTTGTCTCTACAGTTATGTACTTTGTAAGCCTCTCTGAAAATAATTAGATTAAGAGACTGTGATTTTGTTGTTTCTGTTAATGCTCAGTGTGTAAACATGGGCTGAGTCACCGGCTTTGCAAACTGAACAGCGGGCTGAGCCTAAACTTTCCCCTGCTTTTGAGCTAATAATGCTGTCTGAGGTTTGGTTGTGTGATGTCTGGAATATCATGTTTTTTTTGAGAGCTGTAATCAGACAAAGAAATTAGAAATGTCTCCAGGGGAAGTTGGGAATATGAAAAATTTCACAGCGTGTTTCACATATTTATTGCATTAGCTCAGGGCTCTCAAATTACTCGGGGTTGATCTCTCCTAGGCCTTTTTGACACTTGGAGAAAAAACATCAGTATTTAAAAAAAGAAATGAACACATAATCTCAATTATATACAATGTGAAGCCGAATCATAGTCATATTGCTCCAAATGTTTTGTAGAGAAATGAAACTTGAATTTCTATGTGTGGTCAACAGCATTAGTAGGGAAAGCCATAAAGTTTGCTGGTCACAGCTTCCTTACTTTTCGATATCCTACTTTCATTACACTTTTGTCCCTTCACTATTCCAGTTTCAGATATATTCAGCTCTGCGGGCCTTGAAAAGCACTGTTTTTGTTTGGGGTTGTGTTTGGAAATCAGAGGTTTAAACAAGGTGAAAAATGTGCGCCAGCCAAATGCTGGTAAAATCCAGTATGAAAGTGTCTGGCAGCTTTCAGACACAAAATAATGATTTACTGTTGAATGTCTCATGAATTGGAACATTTATTATCTGTCATGTTCCTAATTTTCAAAAGTATATTTCCCACCCTGCGTTCAAACCTTGGATTGACTTTTACATTGTGGCTGAATCAGTGTGAGGTTATATTTAGTTTTCATCTCTGCTTCCTCTTTTAAACAGCTGTCATCATTGTCAGTACTCTTTCTGTGAAAGATGGAGCAGACATGTGGTTGTTATCACACCTGAAAAAAGAGGAAGTGGAGCAGAATGAGCTACACTAAGTCTGATTTGATCAGTAGTGGTTGACCAACATAGAAAGAAAACAACCACCTCCCACTATTAGAGACACTGCTTATTTATTTATTTATATTTTAAAAAACACAGTAACTATGGGAGTGTCTTAATGCTTTTATATTATTTTAATCTGAATAAAAAGACATTTAGCGCTGTTGTAGTTGAACTAAAACTCCATTTTTTATTAGAATCCACATTACTCCACAAAATAATAAGTAATAACAGTTATTAGGTAATCTATTGATTATTTTTACAATTTATCTATTTATTGTTTCATCTATAAAATGTCCTAAAATAGTAAAAAGAAAATTGACCATCATAATTTGGTGCAAGATGACATCTCCAAATGTCTCAATTTGTGACCAATGGTCCAAAACACAAAGGTATTACATGTATAATGATATAAAACAGAGAAATACAACAAATCCTCACATTTTGAGAAGTAGGAACATGCAAATGTTTCGTGTTGTTGTTTGCAAAGTACTCACAGAAACATGTTGAGGATTCATTTTCAGTTGATCAACTAATAAATTAATTGACTGATTATTTCAGCTCTAATAAAAAGTAGACATATCGGCAACAAAAAATAAGATTAATAATTTTACATAAAGGTTAAGCAATGAAAACTTGCAAACAAAATAAGTAATTATCAGCATAAAGAAGGAAAAAAAAGATCCAAAATGTTCCAAACTGCAATAACTAAAACAAAAGTAGCATCTTTGTGAGATTCATGAATGTATATATGTGGAGTAAATGTGGAAATTGGATGTAAAGACATACACTTATTGCTTTGATCCTAGTAAAATTAAAAGGGAGACATAATGAAACACGGGATTTTTAAATGGTTTTAAAATCAAGGCAGGATGTTGCATGAAACCTGGTGTTGTGAGGGAGTGTGTTGTGTGATTGTGGGTTTTACGCTTCAAAGCATTTCCTGTATTACAGCTTCTTCTCTTTTGTGCTTCACAGGTAACCTACCTGGTTGGTAGAGTCACCCACCGTAATGACCTCATCAGTCTGTTGACACTGATAGCTTCCCTGACACTGTAGCCAGAAGCTAGCTAGCTAGCATGCAGCACTGGCCCGGTCTTTCCAGGAGGCAGCGCTGCTGAGAGGCGAGCAGTCAGTGCTGAGTGTGTGTCTGCCGATCCGGCTATGGATGACTTCACCACCAGGACGTACGGCACCAGCGGCCAGGACAACAGACCACTGTTCGGGGAGACCTCGGCACGGGTAGGAGTCTGGAGGAGAACAAATAACAGAAGTAGATAAAAACCCTAAACATAAGATATAAAACAAGAAAAAACGTGTTTCATATGAAGACAAAGAATAATAACAGGACACTGCTGGTGTCCCATACAACCCCGGCTGCTCTATTAAGGAGGAAAAATGTGCTTACATCCAGTGGCAAAAAAAAGGTATCGAAAAAAAATACACCAATGCATAATGGCTTGAATTCCTCAGGGTGTCTCACATGTGTGCCTTGTTTTTAAAATGTATTGGCCCCTGTCAGGGACCAAGCAGTAAAGGCAGAGACACAAGATTGAGGTTTAGAAAACTTGAGGCTTTATTTAGCCAACTAAATCAATTAAAGGTCAAAACGTGTTTAAACCACATTAGACAAAAAGGTAACAACAGAATTACTTAAAGTGGGTCAGTTAACTAAACTGATAACAGTACTACAACATAAGTCTGAACTGAACAAACCTGACCTCCTGAATGACACTCACTGTGTCTCAATTTGCGTCCTTCCATACATACAACAAGTACGACAAAATGCAGTGCACAGAGTACCCGGATGGTGCACTCATATTGGCCAAAAAGTTGAGTGTGGAGCGCTGGACACTTCTCTCCCTCAACGGCCGCCAACAACATGGGAGAAGTGGAAGTCAGTCAAAGTGTCTTGACAGAGTGCAAAGATGTCAGACATTTGATGGTGATTTGCATAAACTGATGTGTTAAACCGTCTTTCTTGCAGGATCGAATCATCAACCTGGCTGTGGGGGGCTTTACGTCTTTGGTCGTTTTAGTAAGTACACATCCTCTGCAGCATCACTGGTTCACTGCATGTAGCGTGTTTAGGAAGTTCAATATACAGATGACATCAGAATGGTAGCGTTTCTACTTAGGAATCATCGTAATCATTTTACAGCAGCTTTCTGACTCATTTTGTGAAATCAGGAACAGAAAACAGCCTGCAGAGCAGCTTTTCCCCCCAAGCTATCAGACTCTTAAACTCTAATTCATCCTCAGCACTGCTCCCGTGATGATAGTTTCTTTCTGTTTACCATTTTTCATAGTTAATTCTTTATTAATGTATGTTGTTTGCTATGTAGCAGAAGGGAGTTACAAAACTCAAATTACACTCTTTAACTTGTTATATTGTGACAAATAAACCTACCTAAAACAAAACTGTTGCAGTAACATGTTGTACTCTGTCTTTACTGTATGTCACAAAATGCGTCTTTCTTCCATTTCAGTGTTTCCCATTAATTAATGTGACCATGGCAGCCCACCATAGTCTAATTTCCTCCGCCATAGTTTCAAAATAAACCGAAAATATTTTTACACATCTCATATTAACATTTAAGACCTCTAACGTTGTGTTTTTGTGGGCACTGCTCCGTTATTATATCTGCGGGGGATCGTGGCTTTTGCCTTAATTTGGCCATTCAATGCACATTTTTATTTTAAACCTTTTTATTGAGCAGGCATGTCGAGAACAGGTACAAAGAGTTATAGGACAAATAGTAGCAGCTATGTCGAGGCATTTATGTGCTCTTTTACCATGAAAAAGGGTTCCTTTTTAAGTCTAGAGTAGTCATAATTGATTCGAGCGATTAAAAGTCTGATATACTGATATTATGAATCTTATTTTAGCACTGAGCAATGCAAGAATTCTTGATGTCGCTTCATAATTGCTTAAACACATCAAAGACCCTTTTAATTATTAATTTTTCTGATGTTTTATTTTCTTATCCAGCTCATTTATAGTTTCAGAAATTTGATTAATCAGCATTAAAAGGTTTTAAAAAGGCTTAACTGAGGCTCCATGAGATCTACACATATTTTGATGTCATCAAAGTCTAATTTTAAGCCTTTTTCATGTTGAAAATCACTCTCCCAATGTATGTAAATGTTCGAATCTGGATATGTAACTGTGGCTACTAACATAAGAGGAAAGGGAAGTTCAGTTAAAATGATGAGTCAACATAGAAAGTGTTACAACAGTCACAGCTTTTGTCCATTTCCTGACTTATTGTAGTAAATCACAACCACCCCTGCTAGCGGCAGAAGGTTTAACGCGTTTTGTCCAGCCTGCAAAGACCACCGCGGTGCATTTAATAGAACTTCTCATAAAAGGTAAAAGCCCTTTCCAGACACGCCATAACAGTGTAGTAAATTACTGATCCAGAAGAAAGTGAAGTGATGTTTGGGTAGTCTGAGTGTTCACAGAGCTTGTTTAGAGTCAGAGGCCATATGCAGGTGGTTTAAGAGAGGGCATCAGTTCTGTGTGAAATATTTAAATTGTTCTCCATCATCACATTTCCTACAGGGCAGCACCAAAGTTATGGTGATCAACAAAGGTGGAATTACAACAGTACATTTTCTTTTTCAGGGTTGATGCTTCTCAAATATGCAAATTTTCTGCTTTTTATCTTGGTTTCTACCTTTGTTGGATGTCGGCCTTCAACGTGTTCTGCGCTGCTCTGGGTTCAGTTGATTCTCAGGGCGGTTGCCCCCTCAGTCCTGGCTTAAAGTCTTCTGTCCAGAGGGGCTGCGGTGTGATGTCTCAAAACTTACTCCACCAACCCCAGACATATTCTAAAGACTTTTCTTTGTTCCACTTATGTTTGTTACAAGTTAAATGCTTTTAACACAAGCTTTAAAGCGTAACACTGTGGTATTGGCACTGTAAATAAAGTAAATGTTATAAATACTTCACCCCCCACTGGTGAGTCCGGTTTAACGGGAGGTTCAGGCTTATTGTGGTACCCAAAATACTCTGTTGTTCAGCAGATGTAGGTTAAATAGTAGGCTTAGAAGTGGAACTGTTCTAGCCTTTCATTTAAATTCTTTATCTCAGTTTACAACTGTTTTGCGTATGTTCACTTTAATTCTTGACTCTTGCTTTTGTTTCTAAGCTCAGACTAACATATTTAATGTATTTCCAAGTTAAAGAGGTTTCTCTGAAATGGGAAATAGATGATTAATTATCTCGCTCTGTGCACAGGAGCAGTTCAGTCGATTAGTGTATTTGATTTTACTCAGATGGCTCTTTAGTAGCTGTTTGCTGGTTACTAGGTGCTGCTATATATGATTAATAATGCTTAAGTGTACTGGATGTCTGTGACATATTTCAGGTGGGCTAAGAGTTACTTAGTAATTTGGTATTTGGTAAAATGCTCAAAATGAAAAGTCGAAGTTTCAGAAATGTAGAATTACTGATCCTGTATCAGCTCAACACTAATGCGTCTCACAAAGTCAATCAACACAACAATGGCTCGTCTCCATTTCTCCAGCAGTGTCACAGATAAAAACTCAACCCACCAGCTCAAACCCAAAATGTCAAGACTTTTTAGATCCTTTTTAAAGGAGTTTTGGAAATTGAGCTTATTAAGTGTTTCTAACGTTTGTCCTGTTTTGTCTTCCAGGTGACCGTTATCTGTTCATTTGTTTTCCCCTCGTTGCCTCCACGGCCGCTTAATGTCTTCTTTGCCGTGTGCATCCTGCTAACCTGTGGATCCACAATAGTGCTGGTAACATTAATGATGATAATACTTAATAATACTCATCTTTAAGGCTCATTATTTTATTCCATAAGCTGATGTTTCTGCAGCATCGTGCTTTATCAGACCTTTTTATTAAAGTTATTAGGTAATTATGTACTTTTACTGTATTCTGCTGTTGATTGGAAAGTCTTGTGCAGTAGAGCACATATCACTTAAAAAGCTACACTGTAGGGCACAATTCTTAGAGCAAAAAGTTTCTCATGTTTATCCTTGACAGTTTTTTGTCCACGATAAAGGAGGCTCAGCCCTTACAACAAGTGGCGTCACATACTATGGAAACAGCTGCACTACTTTTACTACTTTTTTTACTTTTACCAGCAAATATTTTTCATTTTTGGGCCACTTATTTGTGTGGCTCTGTTTAAAAACGTCTTAAATCAGGATTTATTTTGAATATTTTATGAAAGAAATCGAGGTAAATGCTGATTTCTAACAATACCCTTTCAGGGAAAATGTTTTGTTTAAGTTTCTTTGAAGGAGTCGGTGTTGCAACTAGGGCTGAAACAATAAGTCAATTAATCCAACATTAAGGTTATGGTTAAAATGTTTGATCAATAATTAATTGAAGGATATTGAAGGAAAGCGATTTGCTGCTTATAACTATTTTACATAACTGTAAATTAAGTATTTGAAGGTTTTGGGCTTGAACTGACAAAACAAGCAATCTGTAGACATTCTATCATTGTGTTCAGCCATTTTTAGACAAATTATTAATCCATTAATTGCAGAAATAAGCAATCTAAGTGCATTGTGTTAGGAAAGTTGTGAAGAACATTTACCAAAATTTTCAGATATTTAATTTATATAAAATATTTATATTTTAGACTAAATGAGTATTCAGTTAATAGTAAAAATAACAGATTAATTGGTAAAAAAAATGTTTTATCCATTTATTATCTTAGAGGGAGCTTATTCCTGTTTCCTGTAAAACTGTAGTGGAATAGAACTTTTGTGGTAAATAAATTTCAGGGGAAATCCATTTGAAGCCAAACTACTCCCTACAAATATATATAGACATATTTTGTATTGTCAAATTTGTGGAAAAAACTTAAATAAGAACCTTTTCATTCATGATTCTCTCCCTCAGATATTCTGGTACCGGCAGGGCGATCTGGAGCCTAAATTCAGAAAGCTGATCTACTACATGCTGGTGTCCATCGTGCTGCTGTGTCTATGTGCCAACCTCTACTTCCACAATGTCAAGTGAAGAGGAGGAGGAAGAAGGGAAGACATAGCCTTGACACGTGGAAGGACTACGTGGAGAGACAAACGGACCAACACAACAACAAAAAACTAATCACACACAAACTTTGCTCCCACCTGAGCTGCAGCAAACTGACTCAGACTTGTTGGTGCTGAAACATAATGCACTGCACACACTCATACACCCAACGTCACGGTATAGAAATCATGATGTACTGTAAGAGGTCATAAATCTGCCTGGAGAAACACTGCTGGAGGATGAAACAGGTGTGTTTACATGAGCATAAACATTGTTATTTACAGTCATATCCTCTCCGCAACAACAAATACTTAACTTTATGACAAAACAACAGGTTTCATAAGAGTGGTATATGATGATGATGATGATGATGAACAGTTAAAGGAAAAATCTGCCCTTTGATCCTGTTAGTGTAGGTCTCCATCCTGTCTTTTTTGTGTCTTTTTACATGTTTCTTTGCCCTCACGTTTCTGATTAACTATATTTATATCTTTAAAAAACAGAAAGGAGGGGGGGGGGCAAACTGTTATTTGTATAAACATTTTAATCATGCTGTCATGATCAACACCAAATTTGTGATGACTACTTCACAATTGTTCCAAACGTTCCTGCAAACTCAAACTGGTAAATCCATATCTGCTGCCTGCTCGTTTAACGGTGCATTCAGGGTCAGAAAATATCACCATGTTGGATGACGGGAAGTGGATCAATGAAGAAGCCACTGTCCCAATTCTTTACTACATACAAATATGAGTGTATGTACTACTAACTGTCAGTTTATTGTTTTTTTTTTAGTTGGTATACTGGAACTCAAACTAAATGTTTTTCCAATGATTTAAAATGTTATCATTTCAAAATCTTCCTGGAGCTTCTTCTTCATCACCATCTGCAGTTTAAAATATTGCCAGCTGTGAGCAGCGCCTCCAGTTGCTTTGTATATAAAATTTTACATAGCACACCCAAAGATCAAGCACTTTTTTTGTATATGTAATGTATGTAGTGTAGAATTGGGACAGAGTCAAACACCCAGCTTGCTCTTGTTCATATGCATTATGGCAGTTAATTGGACAGTATTTGGCTATATTATGCTGTTACATTATTTGCCAGTTTTCTGTCATGTAGCGGTGTTAAAGCTCTACATGTGATAATTTGGCACAATAGTGACAGAGGACTTAAGACAGAACAGAACTTGAGGTTAGGAAACACGTAAAGGATAATAATGTTGTTTTATATAATTTCTGTTCACCTCAAACAAACAAAACACCACTTTCTGTGAAGGCACCACAATTTTGAGACAGTGTGCTTTCTATAACACCATCCAGGTCATCGTGAGCTGATTTTGAAGGGCTTTAAATGTAGGGCTTCCACCAACAATAACTGATATTGGTGACTTTTGTGGCTTATTATTTTTAGATTAATTAAACAAGTCAATAAAATGTCAGAAAATAATAAAAGAGGCATCTTCAAATGTCTTGTTTTTCTCACCATCAGTTCAAAACTATAAGAGAAAAGCAGCAAATTATCACATTTGATTAGCTTGAATCAGAGAATGACTTGATGTGCTTGATAATTGACTTATTTAATTACCTAAAGAGTTGACTAATTGATTAATTGTTTCAGTTTTGGAGCTTCTTGGTTCAAAACCTGACATTTTTTTTGACTCTTATAAGTTGACAAACCTCCTGAACGCACCATTATATTTGCTCTCTGTGAGTGTGTGAAATCACAATGATGCTGTTTTGACCCTCTGATTTGGGGAGGAGGTGCTCTGAAGCCTTCAGTCCTCCCAAAAACCCACAACTACAGCTGTGAATTCTTGAGGCCACTATGTCTTTCTAAGTGGGTTCTCTGGTTTCATGTGTTTGTCTGACAATGATGATTGTTTTATATTTCTAAAAATATTCAAACTGAACTTGTAGCTGCTGGACGTGAGTGAGTTGCCACGTAGCTTTTAACTGTTGAGATTTTAACAGGGTGGATTTTTCCTTTAACCACGATGGAGATTATGAGCATGTAAACACACTTGAGTGAAGCAGAAGGGGAGGTCTGCCCTTCAGTACTGTAGACTAGCACAAACTAGCTTACCCAACAATAGGACAAGCAGCTTCAGGGTTCTGTGGCGAATATATGCAACTGTTTATATATATATTTCTTTTCCTTTCTATCACTGCTTCTTCTCTGCTCTTTCAGCTTATCTGTTTATCATGGTTGGATTTAATTAATTTTCCAAATCAAGTCTTGCTAAGAGGATTTTTTATTAGAAACTCATTTAAATGCTGAATTACACTTGACTTACTGCCAATTCTTGCACTAAGCATTGGTTGACTTGCACTTGTATCTAAGCCACACACACAGGCCATCTGTAGCACCAATGAAAATTAATGGGAACATTCCACGTGGCTTTACACTGAAGCTGCATAGCACAACAGATCTTAAGATGGATCTGTACTTGTTTCTATATCACATTGATGTGTCTGCCATCTAAATTTTGCACTAATAATTCTGCCATTTACAAATCTGAGCTGGGCTTTTCCAGTGTCTGTAGCATAAAGCAGTTTGAAGTTAGATTTCTCTGTAGGTTTTTACATCAAGAATGAAAATTCTTTGGTATTTTAGGTACATTCAAGCACATTCACTGTGTTAAAACCAGGCTGGGTTTGGATGTTGCAGGTGCGAAAAACACGGGCTAACAGACTGATGTCTACGTTGCAGCTTTAGTGGCCCACAGCATTCATGGAAAAAAAGAACTGAATAATGGATTTTGTTTCCAAATGTACCTTTGCACCAAAATCTATTGGACACAAATTTTAACCCGGAATTGAGCTATTTAAAAGTCAGCAAAGTAGGACGTCAAAAAAATGATTGTCTTTGTCTAATCGGACCAGTGAAAATGCTCATCACAGTTTCCCAAAGCCCAATGTGATGTTTTCAAATCATTGTTTTGTCCTACCAAAAGTGGAAACCCCAAAGATGTTCTATTTACTATTAAAAACCAGCAAATATTCACAGTTCAGAAGCTGGAACCAGAGAATTTTTGGCATTCTTGCTTTAAAAATAGCTTAATTGATGAGCGATTAATCTTCTGTCAGTTGACTAAATCGGTCGTTGCAGCCCTACAGCCAATAATGAATCACAAAGTAAGGCTGGAACGAAGAGACAGATTCCTCCTCATTCATTAATACCCTGCAGATTTGCACCCTCTGCCAAACTCTTATTGTGGTGTCAGGTTTGTTCACAGGAAGTTCAATCTTAAAGGAAGAGGCTGGCATGTTTTAATTTTTATTGTCAACAAATCCCAATGTGTTAGTCCGTCTATCAATACTTTCTGACATCCTGTCCGAGGCTCTCAGTTCCAAGGAAATAGTGTATTTTTTGGGGACTATTTTAAGCGGCGTATTAATCCACATTTGGCACTTTAGTGAGTAACTGGGCAGTGTATGTGGCATTGAATCAAAATAAGCTACAGATTGTAATGAAGGAAAATGCCATTCAGTGCAACAGTGTGGCTCACTGATGTGGTTTTAATATATATATATATTTTTTTAAATAATGGAGCTCAATACTTGTGTGTGTATCAAGTGTTGATTTCTTGTTAGTTCTGGTCTTTTTGTGGGATTTGTTGACAGTAAAATATATAATCATTTAAACTTGTCTCATCCCTTTAATATAAAACACCCAGCTTCTCTATGTGACATGATTTCTGGGGGTTGAAAAAGTAAGATTTCATACTTAACTGGCTGTAAAAATCTAAAATTGATGTAGTTTAAATTCTTATGTAGCATTTACTTCCTTGGTTTGCAGCTGTAGGTTTGTTTACATATAATCTGCAGTAAAGCTTTGAGTGACACTTCCACAGAACCTGTGGGGGAAAATGAGCCACGCTTTCCCACCAGAGAAGTCAACCTCGCCACGACTTTAGGAATGTCAAAGCCATGTGTTTATTCTTTATTTCATTTATTTTATGGAATAAATAATTGTGTACCCTGACTGCCACTTTGTTTCCCCCCCCCGCACTGGGTGAAGTTTACAGCAACAGATGTTAAATGGAACCAGAAGAAGAAAGTTTGATTCAGACTCTTTGGGATTTTTTTTTATTTTTATTTTTATTTTTTAAATCAAATGCAATGGCCCAATTTGGATTTTAGTTACCATATAAGTGACAAAGTATGAAGCCATTTAGGCAAATGAGGTTTTTAAATTTAGGTTTTCTCTCGTGAGAAACTTTCAAAATCAGAAACATGGCGTTTTGATGGTGAATAAGATGGTAAACTATTCACTCATCTCAGTTTGACTTGCTTGTGAGGGAGACCGTAAACAGGTCTTCTCTTCACAAAGCAGATTTTTGCTATTCACACAGAATAGCTAGATTGACAACTGCCATTTTTAATCTAACCTTCCCAGATGGCAAATATTTTATACACAAAAAATAAATATAAAAAAAATTGTAACTGCATTGACAGACCGTTTCCTTAGCACAAAAGACTCAGCAATATTGATTTTTTTTTTTTTTTTATTAATTTAAGCTGCATTAAATTAGTGGCTGAAATGAATGGCAATCCATTGAAGAGTTGATATATTTGGTGGTTCTACTGGCTGAGATGGCCAAAAAGAAAAACGCTATAGTTTGAGGAAAACTAGTGATTTTGGGCCATACAAATAAGACTGACTTGACCTTTTATCTTCCATTTCTACTCAGTTACCACCTACAGATGACAGACTTTCATGTTTGCCTACATTTCAAAAGCAATCAGTCAAAAAAAAAAAAAAAAAACTGTCTCTACGGTCCTCTCTGAAAAACAGTCCATTTCTACAAAAAGGCCCAGTTTAACACAAACAGTGTTTATTAGTTCATTTGTCACTTTAAAGATCTCAATATTTAAAACTCCACTCCTGCCGTCATAAAAAAAACAAAAAAAAAAAACAAAAAACAAAAAAAAACAAGAAGCTATTAATGTGTAACCACAATTAAAAATGAGTCAGTAAAATTCAGTTAGCTGCAAAAAGCCTGGTTATATTACAACCTAACACAGGCAAACTCTCAACATATCTTACATAAACTGCAGTCGGATTATTATCCAACAATGAAGAGGTGAAAACAGAGTTAATGGGTGTGATCTTCAATACCCTCCAGAGGGCAGCAGAGTCATAAATGTCTTTTTCCTGCAGATGATCGGGCTGTTCAAGATGAAAAGTAGGACGTGACTTCATTATATTGGGTACCAGAGTAAAAAAAAACACCCCTTTGTTTATTTTTCTTTGTAAAGCCAAAATGAACACTGTTCCATACTCTCACAGGTCAACACGACCATCCTGTATGGATCCAAACTAAGGGATGCCCGTTACGATTATTAAACTGATTTAAACTCTAAAGCAGGGGATTTGAAAATGAGCACACAAATTAAAGATGGACGGGGTTTTGTGTTTGTTCAGACAAAGTCTCTGGACCTCTTAATGGCGCAGCACAGCATCATGCTGAAGATCATCCCAAAGATCTGTAGAGGAGGAGGAGGAGACAGGCAACATGAGTTAAAACCACATTAGACTTCACTCTTTTTAGCTAAAATGAAACTTAAAGTCAGGTGTTATAGTATTATTTTACTGACAGCTCCTTACAGCAGCGACCCCCAACCTTTTGGGCTTGTGAGCCAATAAAATAAAGGGATGTCTACTTGCAACTAGAGATGTGATGGTATAAAAATAAAAAAAACGCATCAGACACAAAATTATTCAAAGCAGAGAATTTTTATGTCTCATGGGGATTTTTAAAACTACAAATTGGCACCCACAACCTGGTTGTGCTTCAGTAGGTCCCTTAGCTAATGTTAGCGTAGCAAGCTTTGACCACAGTAGACAGAAGGTCGGTGGTTTGATCCCCTGCTACTTTAGTCTGCTTGTCGAAGTGTTGAGCAAGATGCTGAACCCCAAATTACATGTGAATCTTATTGTGTCCTGACTTCTGATGAGCTGTGTGTGTGACCGAATGTGATATGTAGTGTAAAACGCTTTCATTAGTAGGAAGACTAGAAAGGCGCTTTGAGTACAGTCCATTCACGCCATGTAGTAACTCTGGTGTACAGGCATCCATCTACTTTTGACACAGGTTCTGGTCTTAGTGTGGACATGAGACTGTTTCATCTGAAGCCGTTTTAGAGGCCTGAAGGGGTCAAAGTATTTAATATCTGAAATTAACATCCTCACTTTCTTAAAAAGGGACAATATGCAGCTACAGGGAGAATTTCAATCTGCTTCCAACAGAAATCAAATGAAACTTGATTTTAGAAAAATAGAGAAAAGACTTACATATATTTAAATCAACATCTGTAGAGTTCTAATTTTATGTTTGTTGTGTTTAATCATCTTATTTAGGATCAATTTAAAAAAAAAAAAAAAAAAAAAAAAAAAAAGGAAGCTACAGTAGATTTTAATTTCGACATCTCAGGATTTGTGTCATCTGCAGACTCACCATGATGACACCGATACCGATCCCGACCCCGCCGATGATGTGCAATTTGTTGTTGAACATCTCGTCAATGGCAGCCGGACAGCTCTGATGGAACAGCAAAAAGGAAAGACATGCTTTTACTCCAAGTCTTACTCCGTACAGAATATTTACATCTCCTGGTGGTCATGTTTTCTAAACAGGACGAGTGCATCATTTTGAAATTTAATTCAGGTTGAAAAAATAAAATATAAAAACAACAACACAGGTATGAAGAATTCAGCATTAGTGAGGCACCCTGGTCAACATGTCGTCTCTTTGTGACCCAAGTATAAGTAAAACCCTGTCTGTTGTGTTACCGTGGTGATGAGGACCTCCAGTCCCGTCTTCTTGGGGCAGGTATCTTTAGCAGCGTCAATCACCGTCCCTGTGGGGCCACAGCAGTCCAGCTATGAACAAGAAACAGGGCCAACACAACTTTAGTTACTCTTTTTACAATAGGTGTATAATAAATAAATGCATGTTGAAGAGAGTGAGTATGTTGTTGTTGTCTTAATCTTGCTTTTTGCTGCATGGCCAAAATGTGACAACTAAACATTCAAATACTGAGAAGAGTGCAATACCGATATCTTACTAAATAAAAAGGTTCTCAAGTGTATTTGAGACTACATCTTACACTCTGCACCTAAAAACAATGCCATGCTAGCAACTCACACTGTACTTAACAGCAGTGCTTTGAGATATATGCAAATATGCTGATGAGTATAATTTTGTTGTGTATGTAATATTCAGCATCTTAGTGAAGAATGTTAGCATGCTAACATTTAAACAAGAAGTAGAGCTGAGGTTGATGGGAAATGTTTTGCAGGTATCTGGTCGTAAACCAGTACACCCAGTATATAGTTAGTCAGCCACTAGCATGGCTGAAAATCAGCCCAGAACCAAAAGAGAGCATTAAGATGTTCAGTTAATGTTTAATGTAACTTTTACATATTTCCCTGTCGCTTTTATGTTTTATGTAAAGCACTTTGAATTACCTTGTTGTTAAATTGTGCTATACAAATAAACTTGCCTTGCCTTAATGTGAGTGCACACTGATTACACAAGTGCTAAAAATACTGGTGCTTCTAGCTGTAATTACACAAACCTTCAACAGTTACAGGGTTTGTAATATGAGCAGAAGAAAATGAGAGCAAATAAATACATTGGTAATCAGGGGTGTGTGTGTGCACATGTGTGCTCTTACTCCAAAGTGAATGAGACGCAGGGTCTCTTTTAGTGCTTCCTGTTTTGTGGTTCTGTAATTTTCGTAAGTCTGCTTATAGAACTCAGTCACGTCCTCCACCACCTGAAGACAAAGAAATTGAAAACACACTCAATTTAAAAATTACTGACTGAATACAGACTCTGCCAGCCAACAACAAATCCAAAATGTGTGTGTGTGTGTGTCGTGTACCCTGTCCTTGTTGGAGAGGCCCCAGATCCCAGCAGCCACTTCCACAGCGAAGATGATGAGCAGGAAGAGGAAGAACTAAACGAGAGAGATTTAATATGTTCAGTTTGCTTGTTTGCTGCGTTGCATTACACCCATTTTAATATTTATAGTTTGCATCCATATCATACTGTACACATTTATTTTGTATTCTACTATTGTCCAGGTTTGTCAGCTCAGTCCCCACATCATGTGGAATTCAAGTGTTAATAATCTTCCCTTAGGTATTCATTTATTAAATATATTCAAAAAGGTTGAGCCAATATATAAACATTGCATTCAGCCCATCAAAATTAATGGTGTTAAGCAGATATCCCTTTAAGTGGGTGTTCAGACCGCAAAAAAAATGCTTTAGATAAAATAAAAGAAATGCAAGCGTTGGTGGGGGCCTGTTCTCAGGTACAGGTGAATCATAAAACATGATTCAAAGACTGGTTTGAAGTGACAGATCCAGGAGTTGAAGGTTTATCTGTTGTCAAAACCTGCACTAGTGTTTATAGTACTCTACTACAGGATTGTACAACTCTAGAAAGTTATAATAGTGACAATTGGTTTCTAGTGTCTTCTGATAAACTAGAAATACAGGAACTGTCATTTGGGCCATGGCTGTGAAAGCCTGCTTTGATTGCAGTTCCTCCCATATCTCAACCACATGCACGTCAAGTAAGCTGATAGTTTGAGTCAACTCCTTTTGTAAGGCAGGTTCAAACCAGAGAATAAAAAAAAACAAACAAAAAAAAACAACACAAACTGTAAAGATTACAAGTTGTACAAACATGAAGTCTCTAAACAACCCTTGTACACAATAATGACAACATTAGTTGCATCTTTTAAAAAGACAGTCTTGGAAAAAAACAAAAAAAACGTAGTAATGTAGTGGTGGTAAAACTTTCAAATTGACGTGTAACACTTCAACAGCAGAGATCTGTGACCCAACAGCATCAAGACACTCAACTTTGCAATCTGCTGACATGGCCGTCAGCAGATTGCATTAATCAAAAAAAACTATGATCAAATATGATCAGAGCTACTGTAGTGTGACATGTTTTACTTTGA